AATCAAAATCGTAATAAATCAGATGATATAATAACAGTATTCATTTCTCAAGAAGAAGAAAAAGCTGAGTTTTGGTTTGCGTCACTCGACACTGTAACGCATATTTCATTAATCCTTTATCACATATGACGTCACCAGATATTGCTATAGAGTACCTATTATAGATTATATAACAGTATTTCCCATGAGATAATTTCGGTCTTTCGTCTTGCGAGAATTCACAAAGTGCTCCGACTGCCAGCCATCTCGTGCACTTAATAAACATCGATCGCGTTTGGCATTATTGAAATATTGTGTAACTTTAAATCTGCACTCAGAATATTTCTCTGTCACCATTCACCATTTGGTATGTAATGTTCTACTGTGGAAACTTTTAAACCAGGGCGGTCAGTGAGCTGTTTTTTCAGGTTCTGCCAAATACACTGTTTTCGACAACGGTATAGGCTGTACTAATTACTGCTTTTAGGATAGATTCGCTTCATAAGACACTTGATATAATTTCTGTTTTATGTGATAGAGACACCAGAGTGAACTCTTCCCATAATTAATCACTGATATCATTTGTAAGGTTTTAAAAAGCAAACATTTTCTACAAATGTCCTGAAATAAAACGATAACCTATTTCTACATGTAATACTCAATCAAACTTCACGTAACACCTATCTAGGAAGTCATACAATCAACAGAAATACCCATTTAATAAAATATCATCACTCTACACCCACTGAACAATAAAAACCTTAATAACAATTCATAGAAAACTTGATATATTTCTTTCAACATATTTCACGGGTAGATGTTTTTTAAGCATCCTCCGTCGTATGATTTTAATGTAAGTTCCCATCCCTAAAACAGCCATTCGGCACTTCTCAAGAAATAACGATAGGAAACTATAGCTGCCAAAGGCCTGTCTGACGGCCATCTTTTTCTTGTTAGTCTCGGGATACACAGTACAAAACTAAGGATATTGAAAACCCTACATACACCAACACATACATCTGTCAAAAAGATGATGCACAATTAAGGACCAAGGACTTCTATATATGAAATTCGAGAATAAGCTATACAGTACTTCATAAGAAAGCGCGATAACGAGCTATAACTGTCCAAAACAAAATGGCTGACCATATTATTTTTTCAAGTTGTCTGAGGAAAAAATGTGCAAGTAATAACTAGGGAATCTACATACGAACTTAGAGAAGAATCCATTACTTAATTCTCACGAAATAGTGATCTCCATAAATAGTGATAACAATGCTTGTTTACAGACGGAATGGCAACGCGCGACCGTTTGTCAACAAAACACGGACGATTTCTTTCAACTTTTAGTTCAGTATCCTATGAAAATTACAGAAAAAATATTTCGTTTAACCATTTGGTAAGTTAAACTAATAAAAAGTGGAAGTAATCAGGCTGGTGTTACTTAATACACTGTTGTTATATACCTAGGCGTGCATTGGAACACCATCCGTACCATGTTCAGACGTTTCTTACAGTCAGGTGACACAGCAGACCGTCCAGTGTCCAAACTGCAGATCCGATTGCGAACCGAGATAAACTGCTCGAATGAACGGTATATATATACGCTTTTCGTCCTTTTTTCCCTACAAATAACGTCCTCGTGATGTAGGACTTAAGTATCGCTGATGACGTCTTTGCTTTACTGTATCTACCTTATTCTCAGGAGAATTTCGCTTTTTAATTTGACAGTAGGGATTACCTTTGTAGAGCATGTCGTCACGTGGGAGATTGTTTCAGGACAAATACATGTGATAAAATGTCGCTCCTTTGGCGTTGTGGCGGGATACTTGTGGTGATAAGTGATAGGAATTTGTTCAGTGTACGCTGTGCCATGTTGAGATACCAGAAACCCAATCATCCTGTCAAAAAAACGTCACGTCAAACTACAAGAAGATAACGCTAGACCGCTTGTACACATTGCATGCGTTGTTTCTTTACTCAACAGAATATGAATCTGTTGCCATAACACTTGCGGTATTGACGTAAACTTTGCGCATCCATAACATAGGACGAGATGAATTGCCGGCTACATCAGCCACAAAAAAACAACTTGGTTGGTTCCATAAGGCATCGATTCAATGCCTGCATTGTTGCTAACGGCGGACATTCGGCACCGACCCAGGATGCACTTTGTGCGTGTTGTACGCTCGTTACGAAATGGGTGCACTTCGACATGAAATATTCTCTTCGCATTTCTAAAACACACCGATAAAATCTTGCATAGATTTTTAAATGACTTCACTCTTTTTCTCGCTAGGATGGAATAACACCACGCCAACAGGAAATACAGTCTTACAAATAAAAAAACAGCTTGATGAGTAAAACAGACTTATACAACACTAGGATTATACGACAGATACTACGCCATACAGCCGTGCTTCTTAAAACATCGATGTGCTATCAACACAAACAATAACGATACCGTTAAACAATAATTTATTTCGCTGGTAATTGCTGCAATCCGTTTGTTTGTTTTGATTTTGGTTTGCCGATGCAGTGTGTAATCATTAATCTCAAGTCTCCTGTATTTTAAATGTATTGTGTACCCACATCTTTCCTGCAGTTACGATGAGTAAGTACCCAACTCGAGACAAAATCAATTACACCAACAAGCATTCTTGTTACACCACCGAAAATCAGTTACTAATATGTTCATGTCTCCAAGGAGTCGGCCCGCTTAAAAAATCCAATCAGATTGCAGGTTTTCAAGACACACGAGTAAAACTTATTTTTCCCGGTCGTCACGACGAGAGTGCCGTGTACAGAGGTCAGCGGTTCGATCCTCTGACGGCAAAATGAGATAAGGGTAATTTACGTGCGTGTAAGTGTTCGTGCTACGAGACAGAGAAAACAAGATGCGCTTATGAAACTCTGAAGTGGGACATTAAAACTGTACTGTGTAGCACATCTGTTAATTGCATGCACACTTAATGAAACACTTTATCTTCATTATGGTAATAATTTGACGGTTTTAGTTGAATAGTTATGGTCAATGTTATTTTTTTTCAAATGTAGGTCAAAGGTCACGGTCAAGGTCACCTGGTCGTGTCACGAGGAATACAAATGCTAAATATATGAAAGTTCTACTTCTTACGGTGAAATGGTTAAGGTCAATGTTAAGGTTAACAATAGACAAACAGACAGACTGCACAAAAAACAGTATTCCCGTGATCTTTCGATCCAGAGGGATGAAAATGTCGGGCTGTTTGGTTCGTGAAAGAATGTCTATTTTAACCAGATGTAGGAATTATCTACCGTCAGTTCCAATGTAATATCAGAAAATAACTGCAATGGGAGTTGATTGAGAAGTTACTGTAAGCGACCACGTCATCGTAATCCAACTAATCCGCTCGTTCTATTGACTTCGGCTCTGACGGATTATTTCACTACTATGGTGTTAATCATACCCACTTATACCAGCTCTATTATATCATAGCTCATTCTCTTTTCCGATTGTTAAATCACTTTTTATTAAAATTCGATTGAAATCAATGTTATGAATAGATTTCATTTTGAACTCAAAAGAGTACAGGCTCTGAACTTTAATAGTCTGTACACCGGTACATATATCAGTATACAGTGCACACAATAGTTTCTGTCCTTTTTTTTATCGAATTAAGTTTGAATTACGACTTGGCTGACGTGTTGATAGCACCTTGTTTTGGCTGTGTATCCGCCATTTAGACAATCCTTTCTAAAACTCAATTCCATATTCGCACAAATTCTCGATCCAGAACGGAACGCTAAAGTGTGAACCGTCTGTTGAATTATCGACTGTCTGCAAGTTTCCATACATGGAATTCGTAAAAAAGATGTCTATTTTGGCTTATCAACAAATACACGCCACTATTAAAATAAACGAGACGATAATTTTACTGTGCCCTCACACTCAGTCAGCTCATTCATCAGCAAGTTAGACAAAGGAAACATTTTCTAATCAGAAATCCCGACAGAACAATGTTTTTTGTAGTGCAATAACAGAGGAGTGTGCAGTAAAGTAGCTTTAGAGGCCAGCATCGATCGGGGCTTTGGACTTCTGGTTTAGAAAGTTTCAATCCATGGAGTTTGAAACTTTCATAGTTTACGCTTTCCTGCACACTATGGAAAATAATCAACGCATGAACAGGACAACCTCATGACCATTTCTGGCAAGTTTGATCTTTTATCCCGTCAATAAAACTTGAGCTGAAATTAGAGAAGTGTTTTTCATCAAGGACCACGATAATCATTTTACAAAATGGCTACTATAGCTATATACCTTGTAGTTATGAAGGCCGAAAAAAAGAGAACATTTGTTTGGGCGTCTTTTGCTCAACAATCAATTTTCAGCTCAACAGCATTAATGCAACTTGATAATTTCAAAATATTTTTCAAGATGACAGCCATCTTGGATTACGAACCTGCCGAGAAAATCGTAACGCTTAGTCAGCACCATCTATGGATCATTCATGGAAAGTTTTAGACCAAAGAAAACCATGATTGCACAATCACACTACAAAATAGCCACTGTAGTTGCCATCTTAATATTTGACGAGGCTAAAAAATATATTCACTTTGTCAGCTTCCTTCTCTTACATAACATAATTTTCAACTTAATGGCACCAATGGAGTTTTAAGAAGTTTGATATGTTTTTCAAATTGGTGGCCATCTTGGATTTGTTGCTGCCCACAAAAGAACACTTGATTAATACCATTTCAGGACCATCCATAGTAAGTTTCAGGTCAGCTGCCATGTGCAGGAATTTTGATGACCATGGTGGCCAAACTGGATCTTGGATCATTTTGAAACAGAATTTCACTTGATAACGACAATCTCATGATCATTTCAGGCAAGTTTGAGCTTAATCCCATGGATGGAACTTGAGAAGTTTGAAACGTGAAAAGCTGGTGAAATGGAGATACAACAATGGATGGAAGATAATGAAAATATCATTCTGACCCTTTGGATCAATTAATTAAAAATGAAAAAAAAATAATAATTAATGCCGTATTTTTTATTACAAAATTGCTTGGTCTTTAAAAAATATGATATTGGATACCCTGAAATACAAGATTAAAATTGAAAATGTGAATAATGCTTTTTGCGTAAGTTTGTATTGTTGTGATAAAGTTAGTTATAAATCTGACTCGAGTTAGCCTCCACCACACTATCAGTTACAATGACAGAACAAAAGTCTTGTATATCCAGTTATGAAAAACTCATTGTACATAATGATATACCAGGAGTATCACCTCACTATAAAATGGTTACCATGTCTCTGTGTTACCATGAAGTAGTTCAGAACAGTAGCAATACATACAGAGGTAGAGATTGAATACTTCAACACCACAGTAATAGCAAATAGAAATAGTGTTTTAACAATAATTATTATCAATCAATCGGCAGTTTTAATTTTAGCAAACGCCAGGGGATGTCACTCATACTTTTACCACACATTTATGGTGTAATTGGCTTGTTTGAATATCTATGTAATTAAGTATCTAAGGCCAGGTTATAGAACCTTCAAACTAAAGTAGATTGCCAATCTAATATCTAAACACTTCCTCCTTTCTTTCAGCACCATACTGAAGCAGTGTGGATACTGCATATTTTCATTATTTTACACAAGCGTTCCTGTCCAGAACTGTTAGACATGATATGATATAAATCAAGCTACTATATAACATAAATACTAAAATATAATTATAATAGAAAAAACGGGAAAAATCAAACAATATTAACTCTAATAATAATTTTTTTTTTAAAATTCTAAGTTTAAATAAAGAACCAAGGGGGATAATCAGGCTGGAATTTGAACCAAACCTCTGTCAAATGAACACTCCCAGCATTTTTCTTAATATTTCTTAAATGAAGAAAAAAACTGAGAAAATATGATGTGATAAATTATGTTCAGCTGATAGGAAGAAAGGTAACATGATTTAACAGATTTAGCACTGTGTCGTATAAATAAAAAAGGTGATGAAGCGAAGCACAAACAGAGCCTTCAGCTCTGTATATTTTGAGTAATGCAGTGATATATATGAATCATACAAAGTGATACAATAGATCGGACTATATATATGTGACAGAGAAGATGAATATCATTAAGAGATCATTAATGAATGATTCTCGTACATTCTTCAGTATTTACACAATGGATTAAATTTTAACCTTCTTTTTCTACTTAATCCGGCCTTAAGTGCTAAGCTCGGATTAAGTGTTCAGAAAATCTGAGTGCAGATATGCTTGAGTAGCTTATAATTCCAGGTATATACATTTATCTGAAGCTATTTGTTATCTAGCAGATTCCTATATAATACCTCCTACAAAACAGTTAGTACTAATGATGATAAAACCAGATACACACTAAAAATTGCACATATCCTTAGTGACGACACCCTCATGTATATATATAGTTGAACAAGGATGATGAAGCAGTCTTCAAGCCTGAACTGAAAATTCTGTTCTTTACTGACGGGCCTGAAGATTACATCCTTAATGACAATGTATGTAGGCTGTTCATCACCAATAAATACTAAACCATCACAGTGTTTGGTTGATTTGTTTAAAATCTACACTAATTCTAATAACAAAATATAGGTTGCAATAGATTACATAACCAATCAGCTTTCATCCTCGTCACTCACTATAACATGTACCTCCTGTGACTATTTCTAATTATATAAATTGCTTAATTACTTATAAATACACAAATTTCCAGTAATTACTTATAAATACAAACTGTTTAAAAAACTTCCTCATTACTTGTAAATACATGTACTTTTTCTCTACTAATACTTTCTATTAATTTATAATTACATAATTTCCTAAAATCTCAAATCACCAACCATATGGCTGAGATAATCTGTCTAATGGTTTGTTGGTAAATTTTCTTCACACAACAAATTATTGAAATTTTTCTTTTTATCAATAATACCTTAAATTTGTATTAAAAATAAAGTTTGATATATTCCAAACATCACAAGAAACATCCGATATTATAATTACTTAAACTACCAAGCTGTAGGTGAAATCACTTCACATAATATATACTGGCAGTTATGAATGGCTTGAAGCCCCCCAACCTCTGAGTGTATTCATGCAGTCCTTAGATGGTACAGCCAGGTCACATCTTTACCATGTCTGTAATAACATCAAAATGTATTAAAAATGTATCAAGAGACCCCAGTTACTTCTATCATCACAGATATCCCTGAAATATAAAAACCCAATATCCAGTTACAACTAAGCACATGACCGGTTTCGCACCAAATAACAGTGATGTCCAGTTATAACTTAGCGACTGACCAGTCTTGCACCAAACAGTAGTGAATGTCCAGTTAAAACTTCACAACTGGTCAGTCACGCACCAAACTGTAGTGAATGTCCAGTTAAAACTTCACAACTGGTCAGTCACGCACTAAACAGTAGTGATGTCTAGTTGTAATTTAACAACTGATCAGTAACGCACCAAACAGCAGTGAATGTCCAGTTGTAACTTAACAACTGGTCAGTCAGGAACCAAATGGCACTGATGTCCAGTTATAACAACCGGTTAGTTGCACACCAAATGGCAGTAATGTCTATTATAACTGGGGACAACATATCACAGGTCTTGTCCACTCCAAATATCATCTAGCTATGTATTTACACACAGTGAAAAACACTTTAGATATATACAAAACTATTGTAGAAATTCCTATACTTTCTCGGACAATTTGAGAAAATATGAGAAAAGGTCTCACATCTAAATGACAACAATATATTGTGAAATCTCCTTACTTCACTGTCATTCACTCTACTGAATTAGAAATGACTTACAGTAGCATCTAATTATGAAATGTACATAACTTCATAATACCAGGTGTGGTGAGATTCACAGTTAAAACTGGCCGTGATACGATGACTATTAAACAATGGTACGTTGGATGATATCAAAGTGCAATCTTCCACCGTGCAACAAGACCCAGTTATTAAAATTCAAATTTTTTTGATGGCAAGATACATAAAACGTTCAAATTCAACAATAAAATTTGTATGTAAAATTGAAAATAACATATACAAATATGCACAGGGGACATGAAAACAGTTTTTGATTTTCAACCAAATCTCAAAAATTACAGTAAAGAAACTTTTTAGCTAATCAGGTGACTTTGAACAACTAGGACTATCTATCTAGTATGCAGGACAGTTGACATCTAAGCATTATGGCTACATGTATTTGTAGATAAAAAAAGTCACTTTAATACATCATTAAATACTGAAAATTAACCTATTTAAAACTGTATATGTACAGACTGCATAGATTATTTACCGTTATGTACCTGGTGATTTTGTCCTTACACTTCTACCATATCCTACAGAGGGCGATGTTATCTTTTAACCATTGTTTAAATATCCTGGTGATATGACTGCTCTGTGCTGCTGATGAAAATGACAGCTTAAGATTATGTTTTGATTAAAATGCACAATTACGAAATTTCATCCGTTAGATCTGTGTTCATTGCATAGGACTTACATGTTAAGTTGGGTTAAGCCTTAAATCTGTTACTAATCCAGAGTAATGTCACATTTCATGTATTCCACATCCACATTTACAGACAGAATATGTCCGATTCATCATTATATGTATTTTTAAACAATATACACACATATAAAGACTGCTACTATTCTTATTATCAGTAATAAATTACAAATTGAATTAACAAGATACTCATAAGCTATTGTATATTGTGATACATGTAATTGTGTTTTTTTACTGGAATAAATTTTCGCTGGTTAAATTAATTTGAAACTTTTGCAGGTTAGCTTTTTTGAACTACTTGTGTGTATAAATATGAAGTATTAGAAATCTGACTATATGGTTCCACACTGTATGGCAAATTTTACTTTCACAAGTGAGTGAAAATATTTTTGATGTTATGTTTGCAGTTTTAAACTAAATTGGTCAATTTTCCATGTCCTTACCGCACTAAAACAGCCCTCATATTCAGTATGTAGATTGAGCGTTCAACATGTTGATATTGTATAAATGTTCTCTATGTCGACTTAAACTTTTACTGAACTATATTACATAGTTGAAATACAATTAGAACCATATGAAAAAACAACCTTTACCTTAACCTGTCTCAAGGAAGACAAAATTACTGTTGTTTATCCTTACAGAAATAAAGGTGTAGGGTTACTGAGAGTTATAACCGACAACACATGAAAAACTATAAATAGTCTAATTTATCAGAATTCGTATTTCAACGAGAAAAAGCTGGCATTAACTTGAAAGTCATTTGAAGAGATGGATACAAGTTGTTGTCTCTCCTCAATAAGGATGTTAAATAATATTCAATAAATACCTTTATCACTGTGAAACATCCCAACTTGAATATTATGTCAGTTACTATTCACTGCTGATATAGAATCCTAAATGCATTATCAATTTATTATAAACAAGTCTCTATATATGTTACATTAGAATTTACATTCTTACAAGATAAATGTTTTTAAATGATTCTGACAAAATTAGGAAGTTTTACGACAAATTCCTGTTTGTATATGTGAAAACAAAATGACATATTATGGTTCACAAATCAATGGTAAATAGACTTCATTATAGTATACCAGCATAAATAAACCTGGCTGACAGTCGAGACATATTTGTTTCATTATGTTTTGTAAAAAAATTTACAACTCCCAGCATCATAAATGTACAACCTGTGATCAAATTTCTGTCTTGTATATCACATGTTAGGCCAGATTACAATACTAGTGGTATATTGGAAACTCAATTTTGATTTTAAGGAAACTTTATTAAAGCTTCTTTGAAAAACCAATAAAAATCAGCTTTTTCCATATATGGTAACTACTGCTACTTATCACCATGACAGCAGAGTCATTTCTGATATACGATATCAACATGACATGGAAATTTCATCAGCTGTTTATGCCAATTGAATGTTCAATGATTTAGAAGATTATAGAAATAAGAGAGGAGTGTGCAGATTGTCCTGAGAGAGTGTGGTTCACAGAGACATAAGGTTCAGCTGTCCACGTAATAGCAATTACCTATCATTATATAGGTGTAGCATATTCTTGACTAGGAGAAGGGATTCGAAAACCCATGTTTGTTTATCAATCAAATTCAGTCCTATGAACAAGTATGACCTGACAATGAGTAGATCTTAAAAAAGCCTGTTTAAGAATTTGAGATTTCAAAAATGCTTTTCATGATTATGGCAAATATCTGTATTGTTTCTTGAACGATATCCAGGGGTTGTGTTGAGTACTGATATTGCACTGTGTTGTCCAGGTGGAGTTTGACATCATCAAAGCCTCACAGAGACATAACTAGTACAACCAGCTGTTTCGATATGATCCTGAATCACCAGAGACGATACATCACTTTGGAGTGCGCCACTCCTGTCATCACATGGAGTATTTAAAGATCAGGTGGTAAACAAGGCTAAATAAAAAAAAAAATTGTTTTGTTTCACCGAGTTGAATTTGAATGAGAGTTAGGTATAGACTGAGTCCTGCGTGAATGCACTTGTCGTTGTCTAGCTAAAAACGATTGTCCTGTGGAAGCATTGGCCAGCCTTTCCTCTGTAGCCTGACGATTCAATTGCATCCCCTGAAACACAGATCATCAAATATTGTCACAGTTCTGATATCGGACATAATTTATCACACTCAGTTAGATGTAATGACCATTAACACAATGCTAGAAACTTTCAAACAAGAAAGATAATTTCATATTTCTTTTCAAACTACAGACAACTTACCAAATTATACCAAGCAGACACAATGTATTTCTCCTCTTGTTCTCGTATACTTTTCGCCTTGTCATTTTCTTTCTAGAATTGGTGAGAATCAGAAATTTCAGATATTATATAATAATAGATGTTTAAGTCTACTAGAAAAGTGGCTGACAACATAAGTTTGATACAAGGGTTATACCAAAGTCATTGATAAATGGACATCACACATATCAAACATTCTCTCATTTATAAGAATTTTGTCAGCAAGCAAGGGCCTTCACTAATACTCAACAGTACAGATACTGATGGAGATATTGTTAAGTAAACTGTACATAATGTCAGGCCCTATATCTGTGCATAGACAATCTGTGAAGGCATCCAAGCCAACAAGTTTGATAACTGCTATTTAACTTTGTTGAAACACATCAATAAAATAAAATAGAGGGACTATCTGTGTATAATTCATTTGCAAACCTATATTCAATATTTCACTGACGATATTGATAAATTGCCTTCTGTTGTCTGTTATATCAACAAACTTTGATCAACATGACAGATACCACATCATAAGAAAGGGCGAGGTATATTCTGATGCAGGTAACATGTAGATAAAATTGTTATAAAACGGCCCTGCAACTTACATACCATTGCAGTTTATAACCCAGAAAATATGGTACCGAAATACAAAGTACAAGAACATTCGAAATAGAAGCTGGAAACAAGACATTTTTTCATTCCAGACTTTGAATTTCATTAAGAGTACATCTCATTTGACATCAAATGCCACAAGATTTTGTATATAGGCTGGGTTTTACCACAATTACTGAAACTGAAAAATGAAAAAAAGATGCTATTTTCAATCACGACTCTTTCAGTTGATTTCAACTCTAGGACCCCGATATATTTTTCTCCTAAAAAAGTAATAAACTGAATTTCATCAACACAAAATACAATCATACCACACAAATATTTGACACCATACATGACTTGTTTTTGAAACATAATCATTCCATGTGAAAAAATGAAATTAAACAACATGCTGAAGCAATGACAGAACAATCAGAAAGCAATAGGTGAGGATTACCTCTAACTGTTCAATGTATCTCTCTTTTTCCTGCAGCTGATTTTTTAAGGCCGTCACTGTCACTTCTGGGACAGTTCCTGTGTTTTGTTTGGTGTCTATTGCCTTGAACACCTAGTAACGAGAAACAGGACAGTTTGTATAACAGGAGTATTACAGCCATTGATAGCTAACTTCATAATTTATAAAGATAAATAAATAGCTAATTTCATAATTTATAAAGATAAATAAATATATATTTGAACATTAGAGATCACATGAGACCAATATTAGAATTCCTTTTAATGATTCTCGGAATATATTCTAACAATCTGTGTTATTTTGAAAGTTATCACTTCACTGCTTCATGACAGTAGAATGTTAAAGAATTCTGGGGAATTAGCATAATATTTTATCATTGACTGATACACTGACAACAAAAATTATTTTTCAAATCAACTTCAGGGGTATTGAAATTGTAATCTAAAAGACTTGGCTCAATATGGCTGTAATGAGATTTTCTAATTAATACTCTTAATATTAGAACAGGGGCAACACACATATAGAGATCTTAAAGCTTTCTGCAGGAAAAGAGAGAAACTACGACATGCAAAGGGAGATAACCATCTGGAAAAACCATACATTGCTTAACCAATGACAGATTGTTTTTTTAGTAATAACACTGTTAAAGACATACACACTTAGAGGGAAAACATTTTTTCTGTACACACAAGCTATACAATTGAAATCAAATAATGTTGAAAATTAACAAAATAAAAACAAGACCAAAAAAAACAAAAAAAAACAACTCAATTTCTAAAAAGACCAATAACACTGTACATATTAAACATTGTTATTATCAATGTTAGATATGAGACTTTCATTCTTAATCACCAAACAGAAGATCAACATTCCACAAAGTAAAATTCAAAGGTTTGATTTGGTTAATACCACACAACAAGATACAGACAGCAACAACACAAGCTACTTTGGATTGTACGTACCGACTTAGCCTTTTCCAGGTACTTTTTATACTTAGCCTCCATTAACTTCATGTCTTCGTCCTTCCTTTTGAGCTGATCTTTTAACTCCTGCACCTTATCTACACTACCACTTAACCTTGCTTCAAGGTCACCTATTGTCTCTTTATTTTTCTGTAGAACACTTTCAGTATCTTGAGTTCGTTTAATCTGTTCATTTATTTTTTTCCTCATGTCCAGCATTTCCTCATTCGATGTTGTGGTGTGACTTTCTTGAATATCTTCGACTTGAGCCTCCAAAGTCATTATTCGCTGATTGGCTATCCTGTGATATTAAAACCATATATATTAAATCATGAACTATCACAGATTTTTTTCATTTTTTGTGTACGAATACAATTTGTAAAGTTCAACACTTCAGGTATGTCTAGTGTTATTTCAATAGGAGAAAAAAAATTAGATTCAACTTTCTTGATAACGTCAGAAATCTTTGTCACTAAAGCAGAGAAGAACATGTCATAATAACCACAATGATGTACATTAAAAAATAATTCGTAAAAGATCTAGTTTCCCCAAGGGTTGCTGTTAGAATACCAAATAATTTCAGATGTTAAAACTGCAATTTAACATTCAGGTATGATTTCAATGGTCGCATTTTTAATTTAAGAATTTTCTGAGACCGAATAACTTGACTCATGTCAGGTACTGAAAAAATTAAAGGCTCTAGTAAGAGTACAAACATAACAGAATTACATTATCAAGTCAGGATTAGATAATAACGGATAAAATGTGTATACAGAGTTTCAAACAACCTGAAGGTAAATGTACATAGACTGACCGTAGCTCTGTCTCCAGTTCATTTTTGCGAGCATTAGCATCATCAAGCATGGACTGTAACATAGGTGCCTGTTCACTATCATCATTAGAGGTCCTAAGTTTCAGTATTTTATTCTCATGTTCCAGCCTCAGCATCTTCTCCCTACAAAAATAAAGAGTTACTCTTAGTAAACTGTTATGTACTACATAAAACATATGTTAAACTTGAAATAGGATTTATCTTTGTGACAATATGTAACGGTTGATATTGCTGGTGGTGTTTCAAATTGATGTTTGAGCGTGTATGTGATAAATAGATATATTTCAGGTAAAAAGGTTAGTGACAATGTGTATAGATTTTCATTTTAATCTGTTCAAGTTTAGAAGGAGTACTTCAAACAAAGTTTACATAAAACAATATTTTGAAAAGATCATATTTCAAAATAAACAAACCCAGTAATCATCATGTGTGTCAAATTTGTAAAAAGAAACTTTCAGAGAATAGGTGTACATTAATTGTATCAGAGATTACTGAGAAAATTATTTTGTATTGACTGTAAAGTAACATGATATGATGTGAAATTGACTGACTTGACTTCTGGTGGCAGTGACAACATCTCAAGCCTAGGTGATGTAGCTATCTCTCCAGGTTCCTCCATGTTCTGTAACTGTGTCAGCTTCATCTCCTCATTGAGTTCTCTCAGGGAATCTCTCTCCTCTGCCATTCTCTGGAGCATCACAATCATAGTACATTTTCATAATTACACATCAACAATCGTAAGACTGCAGGATTGTTTCACTACCACAAAAAAATTTAGTTCTTTTAATTGGAAACAGGATAAACTTAATTTCAATAATTTAGAGATTAATAACCATATATAGATAACCCAATAAAAGTGAAATCACGCCACTGTACATCTGAAATTTTCTGTTTTCTATTTCGGCGTCGCACCTCTTTTTCTCTTTGAAGAGTAGACATTTTGTCCTGTGCACGCTTAGCTTCGAAGTCAGCCTTGTCTGCTCGCTTTGTTTCCTCGGTTAGCTTGTTCTGTAACTCATGGACCTGACGTTTGTAGCCTTCTAGCTGTTGTTTCAATGATGATGCCTTCCTCAGTTCCTGTTGGTAAATTGGAACAATCAATAAAAGTAAAGTCGCTGCAAGAATTATCAAATAACTTACACTTAACGGATGATGAAATGGAGCTGTTTTTCTACTTATTTACTATTCTTTATTACTGTATTCATAAAACATTTAACCAAACATGTCAGATGTATCAGACAATATGTGAAATTTCATTTTAGATCAAAAGCATAGGAAATGATCCTGGTGAGCCTGAGACAACCTTTCTGCACAGAAACTGACAGCTGAACAGAGGGCGGTGAAATTACATAACAATTCTACCTAGTCCGGATCATCACTTAGCCTAAGAATACAGAAGAAAAATAATGTGAAGATACATGTCAACTTATTTCTGAACATTTTCTTCAGGTTCGTAACATCAATAATGTAGAAGGTCTTACAACCAATAGAAGATTTTAGTGTGACGTTTCGGTGACTACATGGTCACCTTCACGTGACAAACAACCAGTGTGGAGCATACTAGCACTGCTGTACGTACTGTATGAGATGGTAAGGAATCAACCAACTTTTTTGGCTCCAGATATTGTGTAGTGAAATACTTACCACCTTTAGCTCCAGAAATTATGTTGTGAAACATTTACCTTCTCTAGCTACAGATATTGATATTTGAGATCTAGATGTTGTGTTGTGAGCTCCAAAATTTGTTTTGTGGAAGACTTACCTCTTCTAGCTCCAGATGTTCTGTCATGTACTTGGTGTTTTTCTCCTCCAGCAGTTTCAGCTGGCCCCGCAGGTCACTGAGTTCATCTGCAGGTCAATACATACACTTTAATTTAAGACATCCATTTAATCAGATAACCAGCACCACTTATTAAGGAGGTTATCCATCTACAAAATATACCTAAAATAGTTGATACTTTATCTCTAACTCTCTGTTCATTTGCAAAATTCAATTTCAAATATATATTAGGAAATAACTGATCTTCCATGAACAATGTAAAACAACTTAAACAAAATAACATCAAGAAAATACCAACATGTTGATATAATCATGAAAATGGACTTATTTTGAAAGTTTTCATTTAATCTTTAGTTGTAGGTGTATAGCTATAATTTACAGATCATGTGAAGAAAATTTCCTGTTTATCACCTTGGCTTTAATTGGATAAATAACAAAAAAAGTAATTTTGCCAAATACCTGATTTTCTGATCTTCAGATGATAAGTAGAAATAATGAATTTACAGACCATAAATCTATCAGATGGAATGACGTATACATGTCCTCTATCTATCAATACCTAAATCCTCAGCTTTGATTAAGATGTTAGAAATAGACACGCTGTGTATTGGTAAACAAATAATCAATACAAGAACAGATGAGATGACTTAATGATAAACGACAAGCTTAAGGTATCCCCATAAGTAACAAGCTTGAGCACTGCAACTGATCAATAATTCTCTCCTTTAGCAAAACTTCAACATTTCACCCTGTAACCTAGATAGTTTTGAATCCTAAAAATAATTTTTGTCACCTGATTTTAAGATGCCATGTCTGTATGGAATTTGATTTGTCTCTCCTCATTTGGAGCAGAAGGTGATTTGTCACCTGATAGTTAAAAATCAAAAGGAAGCTGTTATTTTAAACACTTACCCATTTTCTTCTTGTAAGATTCTATACTTGTTTCATACTTAGACTGTAAATAAAATAAGATATATTAATACCATGTCTGACAAAGAGCATTAGAGTCAATTCATCAGTATTGTTATTCAAAGACACAACTTTCTCCACCTTAAATGATCTCAAGGATGTTTGATCAATGCCAATGAGAAATGAAGCATAAAATAAGACGTGTTCGAACACAGCCCCAAAATAGTCATTATACTTCATGACTGGTTTTTTTTTCAATCTCTGTAAGTCTGTAAAGATAATTACTAGTCCAGCCTGAGAGTTTTTATTGCACATATCATTCTATATGTCATTAAGGAAAGCCACTGGAACACTCTTAACAGGATCAAATACTCCTGAATCCAGTTACCCAAAGCATATAAATGTTTCATTAACAACTTCTAGTAAACAATTTCACTACAATTTTAACTCTAGAATTGAACTTATTTTGTAGTATCCTTAGGGGTAAGATTTAACAATTGTTTTTGCTGTGTATACTTACGACTTGTTCTGATGTATGCCTGAGAACATCCACCTCATCCTTCAGAGAACGTGCCTCATCTGCTATCGCTGTAAGCTCCACATTCTGACAACAGCGATGTGATAATTAGTGTTATGATTAACTCACCGTCAAAAATAATCTATGTAAATATCTATCTATTATAGCACTGACTATAATACATGATAACTCCACTTAAATTCAGTATTTAAAATGGACAAGTGTTAAATATCATAACCTTTAACCATTTGGCTTCTTATAGAGGATTCTTCTAAAGTTTACTTACTTTTTGTTTAAGTTCAGAAAAATCTCTTGCAAGAATTTCCGACTTTATTCTTAAATCATCTCGACCTGTAAGTAAGCAATAGACATATCACGTCTAAGTAACAAAGAAAGTTGAAGTATTACATTAGTGAAAAATCAATATAACACAGCAGTGAGTATATGCACCCCTGAAAAATTTCATTTTCGAGGAGGATATACACATTAAATACATTACATACATGTCTCAATAGACAAGTACTGAGTAAATTTACAGAAAACATCTGACACATCATCTAAATATTCATACAAGAAAAAACAATTAGCAATGATGACTGTTTTACTGTTAAACCATATTTTTTGTGAGGCACATTTTTCATGGTTCCTGAAATCTTCCTCTTTTCTTTCGACATATGATGTCAACAGTTTGAAGGCAGGCATACAAGACATGTATTTTGATATTGATGGAGAATTACAGAAATGTTGTCTTGATGTGATAATGATGGAGATATCTTTAAGAGAAGCGCTGTCTTGATGTGACTGTCTCGCCACTGATTTACTCACTAGATTCTAGTTTAAAATTCTCCTCCTGCAGTTTATCCACCTGTTGCTGCAGCTGCTGAAACCTCTTACCAGCTGGAGTGCTGTAAAACATCAGACACACCAACGTTTCATCACTAAACATACACAATTGTTTTGTTCATATCCTGCTTCATTAATCAATATCTCAATATAGACAGTTTAACACAATCTGCTGTCACATCCATCCTGTTTACTTAAATACATCTACTAGGTACACAGATTTATATTATATCCAAATGCCCAATATTCTAATCATATATAGGGATTTCCAACATGAACCAGACTGTGACTACAACAAAAGGTTTAGCCATGAATCCCTGGAATCTATCACCACAAACAACATATCACTAACAAGTTGGAGTTATAACCTTCAGTTTGTGAGCCATGAATCCTTGGAATCTATCACCACAAACGACATATCAGTAACAAGTTGGAGTTATAACCTTCAGTTTGTAATAGTGTCATGGTCTTGTTGTTGTGACAAATCATTGTATACTTTCTATCTGCCAGCTGTTCAAACATAATGCACACGCTATTATCAATATATTGATTTAGAAGTAGATATATATATATATAAACCTTAATCAATGAAAATATATGATACAAACTAACATATTAACCTAATTCATTAACTGTATTATTTTATAGTGCGTTGATCACAATCTTTAAGATCACAAATCTTCCAGTATCAACTACATTACAATACATACATGCAACTTCACATTTTAAATTAGTTCTAATCTTCAGACTATCAAATTACCATAAACTCAGTACAGTGACAAAAATACAATAAACAAATATTTCAAAACAAAGGATATTAATATTTTATACAAGAATCAATTATCTATCACTAAATCTAAGTAATCCGAGAATTACAATAATATTTCTGTTCATAAATTGGTGTTAAATTTTATAAAAAAAAAGAAGTTATGTATCGCTTAAAATTTTATGCCACCCATTGACTCATAATATCACTTTAGTAGCATTGAGTTTCATTATAACTGAATAAAACTGGGTTAAATCTTTAGTCTGTATCAAATACATAAATAATAAAACACTAAGGAATTAAGCCTAAGGTATTCCAAAAATACACATGGTAAACAATATTTAATAAGTTTATAAGAAATGTTTCCACTATATTATATACAGGTACATTCTGTATATAGATGTATACAGTATACTGGTATATAAAAAGTTACAGAAAGTGTGATTATATCAAAGCAAGCCTGTTTAAATGTATATATCCAGACACTCATGAATCTTTGAAAGATAATGATATACAAGTAATCGGTTTTATTTTTTATCTATGAATTGATATATATCATATTTCATGAGAAGGTCTGAACAAGTTGGAATCCACTTGAAAACAATGAAAATATTTTAACATAGGGCATTGCTGTTTTAGAATTAATCTTTTACTGGTTCATTCATAGTTTATATGAATTTCAAATCCATTTATCAAACAGTAATACTATACTGAGTTTACATGTCCCTAAAGAAAAAGATGAGGACAGTAAAATTAAGAAGTATTAATAACTTAAGGAAGAATTAGAAACATCTAAATTTCAGTGGTGATAAGTTCAAGTTAGAAATTTTTCATAAAATGTTTGTAAGTTCCAAGAAAAATATAAGTTATATATATCAAGTAGAAAATAGAAATAGATCACACAAGTTCTATAAATAGAACTGACAGAACATTGGTAGAATTCAACTATCATTTATACAGTAACGTTAATTGCTATGTGTAATGCATGGAAACTGTACCATTCAAAGGTAGTGAATATTGATATGATAAACTATTATATACTTATTAATTTGACAAGTCAAACAAATAATACATGTATTTTCATTCGATAAAAGCTGGTATCATCAACAAAAACATACAAATCTTTGTATTAACGAGGTGAAACAACATTCCATTTTATTGCTACTTTAGCTAGATTTGTCACAGTGTCTCAATATTTTTACCAATACTGAGATTGAACTCAGTCTGTGCTTTAAACAGTAAGCAAATACAAATGATATATATATAAAGGGAAAAAAAATAGGCTCAAGGATTTTTCAGGAAAATAGTGGTTTTAATGTGTATAAAACTAGAAATATTTATTTATGAAGATAAAGATGATGAAATATATAACAGATACAGCACAGAAATTTTGTTATATTTTTCAAAGCTACAAAATCTATGTTATCTGTTCCACCTTGAGGTGAGGTCGCACTTAGGAGTACAGCACACTGACAAATCCAGGGAAATGTAATATGATAAGGTTACCGTGTTATTACATACATCTAGTAAAAATGGGTCTGATTTAGCTGCCTGTCCAAACTAGACAGACCACAACACTATGAAGAGCACAGTGAATAAGGATATGTGACAACCATGTCTGCCATGCGACTCATGTATATGTAACACTATATATTACAACTTCTCATTTATTTGGTGGCCATGACGATGAGATAATTTATTAATATTTCAATGGTCATTTTAACATCCAGATATAAATTAGAAAGAACTGATGTACTATATATGTAGTATTTAGTGGGTCTGAAGCTTCAGCATACACATAGTCCATAGAGGAAGCCGTCCAGAGAAATAACATGCTTTGTAAGTAGGGGTAAAAGGCCAAAGACAGTTACGCAGATATTATGATAAAAGTTCAAATACACCTATTAATACATCCTGTACATACTTTCCTTGTTCAGATAAAATAATTTATCTAGCTTTATAGTATATCTTAATTGTTTTGACGATACATACTGATTTTAATTCAGTAATTTTAAAAAATCCATTTGACAAAACAACAAAGCAACTAGCTATGTAGCAAGTGAATATATCTCTGGATCTTATATCTTCTTTATATCTAAACTTTGTGAACTGTATGAAGGATCTAAGAGCTTACCTTGGTAAACATTTTTCTGTACTAAAAAGCTGTTGCAAAGCATTTAATTCAGAAATATACAAAACATAATATAGCTACCCTACCCAGGTCTGAAAATCTATACAAACGACTAAATGTACTGTCAGAAACATGTTGTACTATCATTAAATGTTTATCACATGATACCAATGTTTGATTTTCTGTTGGGAATTAATAGATAAACACAGTATGATACACAGGGGACTGTCAGATCATGCCAATTTTTGTGCTTCCCCAGACCTTCACGGGGCAGATCATGTCAACAGGCATGCCCACAAACTTGCAGAGTGAAACACGATCCGAGTAATTAAAAGTTACCACACTATCAAACACAGGTTTGTGTACAGCGGTTCTTATTCAATTGAGTCACCGTAGCCCATTTTTCAATCATTCACGATCTTTCTGTCTATAATAGACACGCAGTGAAAGAGTTGCTGCTCTCACTGGCACTAACATCTCAAGAAAATAGCCTCAATTTGATTACTATTGAGTCATGAGATTAATTTCAATAAACCAATGAAACATTTAAGTTTTATGTTTTCATGAATATACTTTACATAAATGTACCTTCTCCCTCCCCCCCACCCCCCCTCCAAAAAAAAAAAAAATAAAAAAATTCAAGCTTGCACCCTATTCAATTTATTGAATGTACTTTTGATCTATTTTGAATAAAAATATCCGAGTTCAAGTTGAGAATACTTCTGAGATTTTTAGTGCATGGTTACTGAGAAAATGTATGTTAAATGTAGGAAAAATGGCTTATCTATTTCCTCATGCAAGTTTCTTTAAATGCCTATTAACACTATTGCTCTGTTACCTTGACTGAAGAATGTAATTGACACACCTGGTGAAGGAAGAATCATTACAGGTAAATTGCAGCTGTGCTGAAATAATTCGTACCAACAAAATCCGCTAATCCATTATGCAGTGTAGCAAAACCAAAATCAAACTGAAAACTTCTGAGGTTCAAAACCAAAATGAAAATTAACAAGCAAATGATAATGGCTGCTCTCTACCTTATTTACCACAAAAACAGTGTCAAATAAAGTTTAGAAATACCACACATATCCTGGGGTACCTGAAGGATCAGGTATTTTAGTAGTACTTCAAAATAAAATTTAAGAAAAATCTCAGACAACTAAAAGTATATTTCATCCAAATAAGCAAATTAATTTTAAACATACAAAAACACATGTCATTAATCAATGATAAGAAAACTACAAATGTCAAAACTAAAAAATATCAATCATGCAATTATCGAGAAAGAACAGAATTTTGTTTTATCAACTTTCTGATCACTATGACTACTAATATGCCAGACTGATATCTTTTAACTCTTTTTATGATTTAGTTTTTATCAAGATCAATTTTCCTAATGCTAGGTTGGCAAAATATGTATATACATGTTATTTAAATCAATTTATCAAAGTTACTTTATGTAGTTGTTTATTACCTGAAATGTTTTAACTTTTAAATTAATACCAGAACCTTTAATAAAAAATAGCTTTATTTTCCCAAGCATGAAAATGTTTAAGTTGTCTGTAGACTGACACTAATAATCTAACAGATATTCCAGCCATTCAACTCCATTGCACTTCAACGAACTCTACTTACGCAGGATCATCCAAATTCTCTGCTAGATTCAGCCTTTCATTTAATTTGTCATTTTCAAACACTAAGCCCTGCTTTTCTTCTATTAAGCCAGCCACCTGTATAAAAAGTATAAAAAATCCATTAAATGTGTTTGTGTTATAATGAAAAAGAAGAAATATCATTTAAAAACCAAAAGAAAAAAAAATAGAAATAAAAAAGAATGATCAATTTCTCATGAAACACCTTAATTAGTCACACAGTCCTAATTTATTTGATCTTTTAATTTTTAAAATTTTTTTTTTTGCTGTTGATGAAAAATAGTTTCAACATGGAGTCAAAGTACCTTGATATACAATATCCATCACCTAACATACATTGTTTATAGAACAACTGCTATAACAAAATACAACCCCCTTGAAATAAAGCACTGTTTAAACTAAGGTTAACAACCATCCAACAAGAGTAATATCCCTTTGTCCAAAACTTATGCCGTGGGTGTATGTGTTACCTGTTGGTCAAGTTCATGGCATCGTTGTGTCAGTTCTTCTCTTGCTTCTAACGCACTGTTTAGTTCATCTGTTGTCCGTCTTAGCTGTGGTAATAATGACATTTCATTTTATGATAATTTTATTATACTGTGAGACAAGGTTTGGAATTATGTTATGAAATCTGTATAAGAAATAGCCTAGTAGATAATTGACTAAATTCAGTTATTTTTTTCACAGATAAATGAGTTTAATATAGCATTTGCTGATAAATATTAATTTTTTAAGATAGTGATCTACAAAGGTACAATATTACTTTAGTCAGCATCAATATGCATTAAACTTTAAGGCAGATTGTAAATCCTTTATACATATCTAATACATTCATCATTAAGTCCCTTATCACTATATGTTTAAATAAATCCTATTTACTTACCTGTTCTGCTAATTCTGATTCACCATCACTGCTGGTTGTGATTTCCTTTGTCATGAGCTAGAAAAAGAAAACATAATTTAAGCATTACCACTATGAAATGTTTTAGTAAATGTGACCAAAAACTATGGACCTCACAGAATATGGGTTCTAAGCGTGAAGTCTTACTTTCTCCTGGAAATCTACATATGTAGATCTTGCATGCACTGTCTCTATCATTATATCAATACTTAACAATAAGATATGTAAATGTAGAAAAATTGACATATCAGTACTAAAACTGGTATGTATCTGACCATAATACTTTATAACAAAATGCTTATAGTTGTAAAAAACAAATTTCCCCTCTGACTACTCTAACAACACATTTGTTCTGGTATTAAAATGTGATTTAATCACCTGTGAATACCATTAAACAAAAAAAATCAGCATATTGAAATAAGTTCCATCAAATACTTCTATAGAAATAACATTTTTATTACACAAATTATTACTTACAAATCACAGATGGCTACTTTTTAAACATTTTTTGTTTTTAATATGAGTCTCCATATTCAGTGGACAAAATGAGGGGTCAGGAGCTAACAAAGGAATTTCTATACAAACAAAATTTGAGAATGATCCACTCCCCTACTCCCTAAGATGGCTTGTATGTTGAGTGACCTACCTCCTGTATGGCATTCATTACCACATGCTGTACCGATTCTTCCATGGACATGATACGCTGGATGTACTCTTGTTTAGCATCACAGTTGACAGCACAGCCTAAGATAAGCTGAAGCAAGCGCCCCAGTTCTGGCACGTTACTGTGTTCACCTAATAAACAATTGGAAAGTGTCAATGATACCTTTCATGAACAGTGGTTATCATTGCATTCATTCAGCTGCATAGATCAAGACCTTTAGAGTTTAGAGGAAAACACAACAGTACCTTTTATTTTTTTGAGTAGATTTATGGATGTGATGCTTCAGATGAATACCTGAAAGTTATTTGCTGATAGGGTGTATATAAGGTCCACTAGCATCTAGTATAAATGTACTATAGAGCCATCATCCATCTTTTGTCTGATCTAGATTGATACCAGTACTCAGTTGCTTTACCTATTCTTGTATGACCTTGTTTTATGGTAAAATTATATATTTTTGTGTGACTTCAGATAGCAAAAAATGGGGTGGGGTAAAGGGCGGAGGCAGAGGGTGGAGGACTGAGGGCCGAGGTGGGAGAGAGGAGGAAAAACTATTTTATTGATACTTAATTTTTGTGGATAAAAAAGTTCAATACATCTACCTTGTTACTTTATATAAACTGTACTCCTCAGTACTGATTTTAACAGTCCATGGACTTATGAATTATTAGAATAAGAGTTTCCACAAAATCAATTAAAATAATTCCCCGATGAAAATTAACAATTTTACAGTATCTCACAAAGACTAGACCCAGAATAGGATTTATATATACACAAAGAACATCCTAAAATTTCTAAACCATCTGAAGTGAAGTTGATAGAATTGATGTAAGCCATTCTATAAATAATTCACCACAGTTAAAGAAACATTTACATTCAAATATTTGGAAGAGGACTATATCAATAACCACAGGGATCACAGAACTCAGTAATATAACAACAAGGATGAACAAACTCAGTACATCCAAACAGTGTATATAAAATATAACAAATTATGGTCCCTGTGATGACATACATCTTAAGTACAACAGGATGTGAACGTGGCCACATTTTGTAATAGCAAGGTTAGTCAGTATACGTGTATACATCTACTTCAGACCTAATATTTCCCTTCCTGGATACATAGAGATACAACTGTAGCTTCTGAGTTCAGTCTTCTGTATATATGTATGTACTGGGTTAAAGTTTTTTTCTGTATATTAACTACCGACACAGTGTATCTTTTATTTTCATTTTTTACTTCATCAATATAGTAAATGGATTATTTCATTAATGAAATGAACAAAATTGATTTACAGTTAGATCAACATGTTTCAAATTTTAGGAAAAGTATTTTATGAGAAGAACGAAGAAAAAAAGAAAAGTACATTAAAACTGTGAACTCAACACAATCTTTAAACTACATGTAACAATAAATATTTACATGGATGGCTGTGGAGTACCTGCATATTATGTATATATAGGAAACTGGTTAATCTATAACCATAATAATTATAATCTTTAGCTGAATGCATTGTAGATGTATTTCAGTGGATTACACCATATTGTTGTTGCTTGTCCCTATGATATATCAGATAATTTAAAATTGCTAATGCATAAAAGATGGTTTGATGGATAATGGTGTTAAATCTATTGATATAATCACATTCGTCTTGCAATAAAATATAAGAATAGTAATTAGACTACTTTTAATCTTGGAAGGGAAATGGAAATTAAATAAGTAATGCCCATTTCTCCAATGACTTGTATTGTTAGCCACATAGAAGTTTGCATTAAAATCCTTTGTATAATGAGTCAATAAATTAAAGTTTTCTGATTAAACTGACTTAACCCTATATTTGAGTCGAACTACATGCATGTTATCAGCTGGAGCATATAAATGAAAATATGCATTTCTCACATATAAAATTCCATTTTGCTACAAATGCAAACATGAATGAGCAAAGGTGTGATATAGGAACACCTCACCTGTAACATGAGTACAGGTATTATATAAGAACACCTTACCTGTAACATGAGTACAGATATGATATTAGAACACTTTACTTGTAACATGATAACAGGTATGATATAAGAACACCTTACCTGTAACATGAGTACAGATATGATATTAGAACACTTTACTTGTAACATGATAACAGGTATGATATAAGAACACCTTACCTGTAACATGAGTACAGGTATGATCTAAGAACACCTTACCTGTAACATGAGTACAGGTATGATATAAGAACACCATACCTGTAACATGAGTACAGATATGATATTAGAACACCTTACCTGTAACATGAGTACAGATATGATATAAGAACACCTTACCTGTAACATGAGTACAGATATGATATAAGAACAACTTACCTATAGAGTTAACATCAGGCATTTGGAAATCATGGATCTGTATACCAATCACCTGTAATTACAACAGAAGGATTAAAACATGACTACAATCTTATCAATATCTACTTATATACTGTAGATGTACCAACATCACAGGTGACATGAGTGACTTCTAACTTCAGGCATCTGTTGCCAGAGCTGTTACAACTTTAACCATATGTATTGTAAATATGATATGTTGACTCACAATAACTTAAATAAAGTTGCATATATTAATGAAAATAAACAAATGAAGGATAAGGGTAAAAACAAAACAAACTACAAATCTTTTGACTTTGAATAATTTCTCCAAGAAACATGTCAGTCTAGCACATCAGGAAGTTCACTTCCAGGTATTTATGGTCTATAGACATTTGGAAACTTCAAGGCATGTCCAGTAAAGTAACTTTCAGATTAATAGCTTTGATATAATTCAATTTCAGATTTCTAGTTAAAAGGAGTATGAGTGCAAACAGGAAGTTAAAGTATATTTGGAACAGAACACACATTGCACTTGCAGTACAATACACTATACTAAGTATGAACAGAGGTCATTATGTCACAACGCCTCCACAAGGGATTAAATGTGAGATTTTTAGTTTATAGACTGATGCTAGACCAAATAACTTCTCCTTTGCTTAGTCAGAAAAAGTGGACAGTATCAATGTTTGAGATTTTAATAAGCTCACCTCTAGATTGTATTCCAATATGCCTTTCAACACTTTCTTCAAGTTGCTGACCTATAAAATATTTCAGTTAGCAAATAGAATAAATATAGTTTCTGATGGTCATGACATAGATAAATACTAGTAATTCTTTAATAAAATGATGATAAATACACTGGATATATTACTGATAAAGCAAAATTCAAATCATATGCAGTTTTTAAATTTTATGGCTACAAATCAAAATTATATAGTAATTATTACTTAAGGAAATTTAAAGAGTATGTACAATTATAAGTATAAGCATATAAGAGTTAACTCTACATAAAATCACAAGTGATTCTGGAATTAAGAATACTCTCATGATCCGCAAAGCGTAAAGAAAATAACCTTAGAGGTAGTAAAAAGAGGTTATTCAACACTGTACCTTAAGTCTCCAGTTTGTGACATCATCTGTCTTGATCTTAGACATCCATGCTTCATTGAAGAAATTAGGTGCACTGAAAGTAAAATGATCACCACTGCCATATACTATGCTTCTGAAGTGTTATTATATAGTAACATAAACTTTATGTACTTAATGGCCATTATCATCATGTCAATTTTATTACTGCTATATAGGCCTACTTAATCATATTAGCATGTATTCACACTAAGCTGTAATAATAATGCCAATGATAAATTTTATACAAATTTGTAGAACACCTTGATCAGAAAACATCATACATATTACAAATGAGCCACATATTGAACAAATATCTAATATCATATTTTGTACATCATACATGTACTGCATTTTTGTGTTTCAATGATGGGCCTGCAGGTAACTGATAAACAATCAAGCATATTTATGATAGATACACTTCAAATGTGTAAACCTGTAGTACAGGTATGTACATTATTTACATAGTAGGAAAACCAGTATGGAGTAGGTTTTCTTTTTACCCTATAATAAATTCCTGATGCATATAATTATGTTTTCTGATTTAAATATATGGTTGTAGGTAAAGTTTTTGATAAGAATGACTGACTCAAGATCTATACTTCAGATACCTCTAATTATGTAAAAGTAAGAAACATGTGTACAGTAGTAAACAATACGCACATTTGATGTAGTACTTGTGCCATAGCAACACCATCACTAAGATCCTCGGGAGATTGACACGGACCACTGATCCCGAACGTCTGCATCTACAATAACAACATGTACAAGACTCAGAATAAAAGTGTTTCGTCGAAGGGAAAGGAATGAAATCTAAAACTCAACATCTTTTCATGTGCTATCATAATATCCAAAGATTGGTTTTCTACCTGACAAGATAGTCTTTTAACATCATAATGTTACATAACAATACAGTAGTAAGCATAATAAAACCAGCTCAGTGCATAAACAATAACTGTCTGTTGTGAACTGGATACCTGTAGAGTGTTGTGAAAAACTATCCAATGAAAATATGTTTAAAGTTTATGTTGCTTTACCAATAACAGTTACAGTTTACAGCATATTCAGCAAATAACAATAACACACATTTTCATTTGATTCTATTTCAGACATCTGCATGGTACATGTCTGGGGTTTTTTTTTATCAGTATTTTGCTTTATGTAATAAAACTTTGTTATATATACACAAAGGAAACAATAATGTGCTTAATTCATTTAATATTTTAAGCTCCTTGTGATTGTTAGTCAGGACAAAACAGCTGCGTGATGCAGTTTAATTCATTATTTGGCTCTACTATATCCAATTCTGACTAAGTATTGAAAGGTGTTATCCAGTTGAGTGTCTTTTGCACAAGATTACAGGTGGAAGACGCTACTGGTGGATTTTTTAGTCCCAAAGATTTGTTGTAACCTGCATGCTACATTTAAATTCATACAATAGTGGCAGAGTTTAGAATAAACACTGTACTATTCACTTGTATGCCTTTTCGCATTGCAAGGTGCTTTGTTCATTTGTGTGTTTTTTGTACAATCTATCATTATACATAAGAAATATTAGCACTAATAAGACAAATCAGTAAGAAACAAATTATGTGAAAAATAAGTTAAGATTTGAATTTTTCTTAAAGTTACTAATTTATGAATTAAAGTTGCATGCCATTTGCCAGATAAATATTTATGAATTAAAGTTGCATGCCATCTGCCAAATAAATATTTCCTAAATGTAGCTATTACAAATAGCTATTCAAATACAAAATGAATATACACATATCTTTAATAGAATTAATAGTTTTTTTTTACTGAATTCAATTGATTAGTCTATATTTATGCAACTGACTTTCAAATACATTCAAAGTGGTACTTAATTATAACACTAAGCTGACATATTTCAGTGTTAAAGTGTCATGTTCTCAATGCCAGTATAGGAGCATAACAGCTCAGCTGGCAGAGCATGTGTTTTTAGAAAGATGAAACATGAATACTGATTGATGTGGTTCTATTTTTGTCCTTCAATCTCAATGGCTTTGGAGAGTATGCCCACCACCTACTTCTATAGGGAGACACTTTCTCAAAGTGATTCTGGATGTTCAAAGAACAATAGACACAATAAATTAAATAAAAGTACCTTATTAACAAACATTTTTTACAAGCAGAAAACATTTCAATTTAATTTAATCTTGGTTTAAGCGAAGAGGACGAACATATGCGTAAAAACGTTGAGCGAAAGGTTAAAGAATTGAACCTTCTTACAGTACAGCTCCATCTTTACGTATAAACTAACTAAATAATTCCTTTTTTTATTTCCTTATACCAACATACATACTTAAATACGGATCGTGACAGTACAGTCAGTTCTAACAGTAAATGAAGTAGTCGATAAAAAGGGATATGAAATTATCTTTGAGCAGACAAAATGATACATACATTTATATACTCTGCGTCTCATTATTTCACATAAATGTATCATTTCTTCATTGTACTTCTCATCGTTGTGTCATTTGTTCACTAGTGATATGATGATTCTAGGACTAATTAAAAAAACCAGGCGTGATCTGACAGCTCACAGAGTATCCGATTTCCTAATATCCATATTTAATGAACATATTTATTTCAATGGACTGCGGTCGGTGACTATATGAACACATATCAAAAGCAAGCATTTCCCTGTTCACTTACCCATGTTATCAGACTAGCACAGACTTCGTCTCGATCCATGGTCTACAAAAATATTCTATTTTTCAACCTCCATAAAATCAACAAAAATGGCCAACCACAAACACGGGAGATAACTTGCTTCATCATAACTTCCGGTTGCTGTCAAATCAACTTCCGGTCTACTTTCCTTTTGTCGAGATTTAATTAGAGGTCTCGGTCTCAGAATTTTGTAAATATAATTTTTTTCTTTGGTTGATTTTATTTTACATTTTGCATATTTTGCGACGTCATATATTTTCCACTTTCAAAGTTAGCTCGTGGTACGGTACGTCACTACACGAATAGCTAGTTCAAACAAAAATGCACGTGTATACTTCAGGTGTATACTGATATAGACATTAAAAGGAAACTTGTTTAGATTAATAATACGAATAACTATTATGTAAATAGACAGACAGCAGTTAAATATGGTAGCTTTTATTTTATTAGTAAGCTAAATGCATCGCACCATGGAACAATATTAGAGGGACAATATTTGAAATAAACATCGAAAAAATCTTGTGAACTGGCCTTGCTTCTCAAAATGAACAGTTGTAAAAAGCTGAATAATTTTACAAATTGAAAATTATTTCTAAATCAATAATAAAAGCCCTCAAGTCATTTTCCATTTGACTTGGGTATTTATCATGATATGTCGTTGTTATTTATCAGTAATATTTTTGTTTTGAGATTCGCTACGGGATCATCACTGGTTGACAAACTGGCACAGGAAAGGACAGTCAGTACAAAGCCCACGCAGTCTACAGAATGGAATTAAAGTGAAATAAAAACAGGTACATGTAAATGATAATGTTAACTGTAAGGAGAGGGGATTTCTCACCAACCAAACTCTAAAGCCAATGCCAGAAAGCCCTCCACTGGGCCCTGTTTCCTACCTTAGTACCTGACTACATGTACAATTTGCATTGTAACCTTTATCTAATTGATTTATAAAAAAATATATGAAATACTGTATAGGCACTACCTCTGTGCAATCAAGTTGTTTATAATCATTTTAAAGAAAATTTCTCAAACATTTAAATGTAAGATGGCAAGTTGTTTCAGTACCAGGTTGTTTTGGTACTTACAAAATACATTGTTTCTACGATTTGATACTAACTGAAGATATAAAATTTCACCTTCTTCAATCTGTCGAGATGTGTATAATACAAATATACATTTAAATAGTATTTAATTATTATGAACAAACTGTATATAAATTAAATTATTATGCACTTTTTGTGTCATTTCAGTTGAAAGAGAGTTTGATTTAAGCAACATTAATCAAGATGTCCGACAAGGAGGATTCTTGTCATGAGAAAGATTTGCCATTGATGTCAAATGTAAAGGATATCCTTGTTTATCATTACATTCTAGATCTTAAATGTCACTTAGAGGAAAAGACAATTAGTGGCTCTGTTGTGGTTTTCTGTAAACCAACTACGAGTGATATCAGTCCAAGCTGTGATGACTCTAACGCTGACTGTAAAGAGATGCCTGTTTGTAATGGTGAAACAAGTCAGTTCTCAGGAAACAGACAGGATCTGTTAGTGACCGCTTCTAGTTCGACCTCAGTGCCTGATTCAAAGATTTCTAGTGAGTCACAAATTTCAGAGAAGGAAATATGTGTTTTTGACAGAAAGAGAAAGTCATTGCCTAGCGATGGACTTGAAGATGATGCCTTAACAAGAAAAGTGAAAAGACATGGTGATACAGCTCACAACAATTACAATCCTGACGACAAAAATGTGCTACAGTCAACAATATCAAAAGATTTTGATGAACAACAATGTAATAATGAATTGTTATCAAGTCAGAATCGGCTACCTTCAGTTGCTTTTCCCACAGTGTCTTCTGATGAAGTTGTTTCACCCCAGTTTCAGATGATATTGGACTGTTGTGATATCAATATTTTGAAGGTTGAGGATTTAACCGACTGTGAGGAAGTACTTGAACAGATTTCTGATGACCCATTCAATAAAATTAAAAGATTTGGAAACAATGAAAATGTGAATGAAAATCATTTGAAGTTCACTGTTGAAAAGCACTGCTTGAGAGTTTTTAAGACTGGTTGTACAAGCATAAAAGACTACCCTAAAGTAATGAAGATTTCATTTCTGACTAAACCAGAAGGCCAGTCACTGAAATGGACAAATGATCAAGATGGCAAGTAAGTATTTTCATACGATATTCATTAATGTTTTACTTCCTTGGTAAGAGCTAAGTAAGATTCCAATGTGTGGTACAACTGGATCACTTTGATCCCCCTCCCCTCGCTCTCCCACCTGTTTGAAGTCACATGTTACAAATATGTGTAGGTTATATTTACATGTACATAGTACAAATATATTTCAAAAATTTCCAAATGACTTGTTTTTAAGAACAGAAAAGATCATGTTGTCTTCCTATTTTGAAGTCATATAAAATTGTAACCGATTAACGGAAATGGCATTGACTTAATAGCTATTTTAAAGGTCAGAGGGCTCAAATTTGTATGTTCAACATCTTTTGAAAACCTTCTAATGGCATTGAGTTGCAAGCATTATTTGAAAACCCACAAGGTTGGCAGTTGACTTATACATTTCACCACATGAAGGATTACAGTATACAATTATGGTACATAGACTGATTGCCCTTATTCAAGTGAACCATTTTGTTTAAGGAAAACAGTCCCAGAAAGTGTATTTCTTCTCTCTTAACTTAACTTGTTACTGCAGCTTTCATAAATTGTAATTTTCAGGCCGTGTGTGTATACACATGGACACTGGATAAACAACCGTTCACTCTTTCCAAGCCAGGATGTCCCTGTTTCCATGGCTACCTGGCAAGCTGTGGTATCTGTGGAAGTGCCAGTTTCGGTGGTGATGAGTGGAGACAAGGAACCTGTGACCAGTACCACAGAAGATGGTAAGTCCATGGGTTATTTCAGGTCAGGAAAGTTTTACTAGAATGATAGATGAGGGAAATTGTATTGTTATACCGAGTGTAGTAAATTTAGAAAGCTTATTTTTCTGTTGACGAATATTCCTGAGTGTAAATTTAATTTGCATGCTTTTGTGTAGGTTAACTATTAAGAGAAAAATGTGAGGAGTTTGAATTGAATTATTTTTGTTGAGTGTTGCAGGATGGACTCATTTTTACTTCAACACACAAATGGTTATGCCTTCCTCCACCATATCGCTGGCTATTGGACATTGGCAGGTCAAATCTCTCATTACCATGGACAGGTAAAAAGAAGATCATACATGAATATCAGTTTAATATAGCAAGAGTGCAAGATTCTATTTATCATTTAATACATATTCTGAAAAATAAGCAAAAACTCTCAAATTTAATTCCCTTTAAGACAGACTTTTCTCGATGACTGTGGTAAGTTTTTCACATTGATACAATCATGTGATGTCATCAAGACATGACTTATTTAGGATGTTGCAATATTGTATTATACCTGTGTTGTGCAATATTTATGATGTAGCTATATGACACGACAGGTTAGTTATGTGATAAATCTAGTTTGTACTTTATTTTGTATTACTTGCTATTGTCTGCATTTGTGAGGTAGGTGTTAAAGGTAATTTGCAACATTTACAAAACTAGACATTTCCTAAATACTTGTTGATCTGAAATGTAACTCGATTAAACTGTTGCTTAACTTAAATTCCAATTTTCTTGTAATGGTTATATTGTGTTTGTTTCTTTTCAAATCAGTTTGTCTGAACCAGAGTGTGAGAAAACAATCCCTTGTCGACTGTTCTGTGCATCCAGCCTGATGGATGCTGCATCTCAGGAGATTGGTCGGTACATGGGCAGTTGTCTCAGAGCTGCATATAATACATTGGGGCCACATCCGTTTCGGAGACTAGATATTGTGGTGGTTCCCTCGTCGTTTGACAGCCTTGGCATGGCAAGGTTTGTTTACGTTAACTTTTGACATAGGTTTGATATCTCTGCGACAATATATTATAATGGCTTTTCAGCCAGACAGAAACATGAAAACAATCAAATCATATCTCCATTTCATTGATAAATCCAGCATAATTATGTTGTACCTGTCCCAGTCTGTGTTGGTGTCAGATGTAATATTTGTTGTGTATGTTTCCTGACAACCCCAGTATGTTGTACCTGTCCCAGTCTATGTTGGTGTGAGATGTAATCTTTGTTGTGTATGTTTCCTGACAGCCCCTATATGTTGTACCTGTCTCTGTCTGTGTTGGTGTCAGATGTAATAATTGTTGTGTATGTTTCCTGACAGCACCAGTATGTTGTACCTGTCCTAGTCTGTGTCAGTGTCAGATGTAATAATTGTTGTGTATATTTCCTGACAGCACCAGTATGTTGTACCTGTCCCAGTCTGTGTTGGTGTCAGATATTGGTTGTGTATGTTTCCTGACAGCCCCAGTATGTTGTACCTGTCCCAGTCTCTGTTGGTGTCAGATGTAATATTTGTTGTGTATATTTCTGACAGCCCCAGTATGTTGTACTTGTCCCAGTCTATGTTGTGTGAGATGTAATATTGGTTGTGTTTGTTTCCTGACAGCCCCAGTATGTTGTACCTGTCCCAGTCTGTGTTGGTGTCAGATGTAATATTTGTTGTGTTTGTTTCCTGACAGCCCCAGTATGTTATACCTGTCCCAGTCTCTGTTGGTTGGAGACTTTAGCATGTGTGTCCGCATTGCTCATGAAGTTAGTCACTCCTGGTTTGGTCTTGCTATTGGTCCAAGTGACTGGACAGAAGAATGGTTAACGGAAGGATTCTGTACCTACACGGAGGATGTCATACACAATCTGGCTATGCAGGTACATGTACTTACTAACTAGCTTCAAAACCTTATGAAATAAATATCTATTTGCTCTTTTTTACCTTTTTTTGATAAATTCTATCGCTAATAATGTTTTGAAGTTGGGATTGGTTTTCAAAACTTTATAATGGAAAGTTTGGATGTCTTGTTCAGACTGTAGCAGGATGGACAGAAGAGTATGGGGACCACCATCGAGAGATAAGAGATGTCCTTAGATATAGAACTCTGGTTGCTGAGCTGGAGCACACAGATGAGGAGCTCCAGACGCTGAGGTGTGTATCCTCATTTATACAAATTAGTACTGTAGATTGCTTTTACTGAATACAAGTTATCTCCCCTACTATGTGGCCGCATACTGTGAGGGTAATGTAGTATAACAGAGAAGTATTAACTTGAAGTTTACTTTGCCAGGTATTGCATTGTAGTAGGGACATGTTATAATGAATATTCATAAGGCAAAAACAGTTACAAGTGCTTTGTTCATAAATATTGCCATGTCATGTTTAGCACAGGTCACAGCATGGACTGGTGTAAAAAAGGTTACTAGCTATAATCTCAATTTAGAATTGGATAGCAACACCCACAGTCAGGTTTCATCAAGTTTAAATTTAGCAAAAATAATGGTATCCTAAACTATCTACTTCTGTGGACTTTTTCCCAACAAAGATATCATAATCCATAGGCTATCATTTTGAGTCTTACAGTTTTTTAAAGCGTGTTACCGATTTTTCACTTAGAACTTGTATATTTATGTATCTCTCAGTGATATGTTCTGTTTGATTTATTGGGTGTAGATGTTCAGGGATGGGTTAGGGGTGATTTATTCGTTGTAAATGGTCGGGGGATAGGGTAGGGGTCATTTATTGGGTGTAGATGGTCGGGGACAGGGTAGGGGTCATTTATTGAGTGTAGATTGTCAGGGGATGGGGTAGGGGTCATTTATTGGGTGTAGATGGTCGGGGATAGGGTAGGGGTCATTTATTAGGTTAAGATGGTCAGGAGATGGGTTAGGGGTGATTTATTGGGTGTAGATGGTCGGGGATAGGGTAGGGGTGATTTATTGGGTGTAGATGGTCATGGATAGGGTAGGGGTCATTTATTGGGTATAGATGGTCATGGATAGGGTAGGGGTCATTTATTGAGTGTAGATGGTCGGGGATAGGGTAGGGGTCATTTATTGGGTGTAGATGGTCGGGGATAGGGTAGGTGCCATTTATTGGGTATAGATGGTCATGGATAGGGTAGGGGTGATTTATTGGGTGTAGATGGTCGGGGATAGGGTAGGGGTGATTTATTGGGTGTAGATGGTCGGGGATAGGGTAGGGGTCATTTATTGGGTATAGATGGTCATGGATAGGGTAGGGGTCATTTATTGAGTAGATGGTCGGGGATAGGGTAGGGGTGATTTATTGGGTGTAGATGGTCGGGGATAGGGTAGGGGTGATTTATTGGGTATAGATGGTCATGGATAGGGTAGGGGTGATTTATTGGGTGTAGATGGTCGGGGATAGGGTAGGGGTCATTTATTGGGTGTAGATGGTCGGGGATAGGGTAGGGGTGATTTATTGGGTATAGATGGTCATGGATAGGGTAGGGGTCATTTATTGGGTGTAGATTGATTGGGAAATGGGGTAAGGGTAAATTGTTGGGCGTAAATGGTCGGGGATTGGGGTAGGGATGTTGTTTTATTGTACAGAATAGTGTAGATAATGTATTTTATAGTTTGTTAACTATATTCATTGATTACTGTGTACCTGTGTTTGCTAATTTATGTTACAGACCAAACAAAGAGGATGAAGAGGAGTCATATGTGACTTATGTAAAAAATGGAATGAATCCTGATAAAAGGTTTATGCAGGTTCATTATCTCAAGGTCAGTGCCTTCTTATATTTATCTACCTTAAATGATTCAGAAGTAAGATAAAAAAACTTGTAATTAAAACCTATGTTAGGTGTAGGTCATACTTGTGAACTCTCCCTTATTAAAAGTAGATTTGGTTGCTTTATTCCTCTGTTTTTGAAGGTTAACTGCTAAAAAGAGATAGCGGATGATGTAGATGAGCACAATAGGAAGAGTTCAGTGTCCAATATCAGTCCCTGACATCTCTATAACCTACATGACAGAATGATTTGCCTCATGTTATTTGCTCATGTTTTATTATTTTGTTACATAGAATGTAAAGAAGATATAGTAATATACTTGTCATGCTACTGCAATGAAATGTCACCCATTTATGATAAACTCGTTTTAAGATGATTCAAAGGCAGTCTATATTAATTTTCTTTTATTGGTTTCTTTATCTTAACATAAGTGTAATCAAGTTTAAGTATAGCTTTTTTTTATTTTGGTGATGTTTGTAGGATACATGCATTTGAAACATGCTTATTTAGTTAGAGATGAAGAAAAGTTTAATCGAACGGATCACAAAATTCTTTATGGATGATGTCTTGTCCGTAGATAACAGACAAAATATTGACCTTGTCAGTTGTATATAACCACTAGAATTAGAAATTCAGGATATGACAGACTCTTCTTTATCATCCTTTTATTTTGATCTTTTACTACAACAAAGGCAATAGGGACAGTTTTGCATGAAGTTGTAGGGTTAGTGTGAGGGTTCTGATTGATTTTAGTATTGTGAATTGTCCATTTCTAGATAGTAACATCTGCTACCACAACCTGTGTTGTTTACATGTAACAGTTGATTAACGTTTTAATGAATTATTCCTGCTATGATGATTTCTGTGCAAGGTGTCATCAGAGGATAGATGAACTCACAAGGTTCTGAGAGATGCTGGTTGATGAAGATAAAGTTTTATGGTCCTGTAGGGATGTTTTTTGTTTCTGCAAGTGATATGAAGCTAGATTTGTTTGAAGTCCATTTATACACAATGTGGTTTTGTTGTTGTATACCTTGTTCTGTTTTAAGAATATATCCTTAGTTACTTGGATTGACCAAGATTTACATGGCAGTTGTTGTCAATGAAGCAGAACATGAAATGGTTTGACAGTTGTAAATGAATATAAGAATCTTTCAGAGCTCTCATCTTTCATTTGTTCATATTTTGTCGTGAATACGGAAAAAATACCTATTTCCTGAACATAGTAGGCCTATGAGGACAAACAGCCGTGTGATACACTTCAATTCATTATTTGACTCTACGCTCCTGTATCTAATTCTAAATTGTATTAAAAGCTACTGTTATCTTGTGTGGTTTTTATACAATCTTTAAGTAATTACGATGTAATTAAATCCTTTTTATTTTTATTATTTTCTTACTCCTGATGAAAATAACATCAAATTAAGATAGTTGCTTTTAGCTTTGGGATCAAAACTAACATTGATTACTGAAACGTGTTCATTACATTACATCAAGGCAATCCCTAATGTCGTTCAGGAAGGTTTTGTGAAACATGTTTCTAAAATGTTCAATGTGAATGTTGAGTAACTACAGGATACACATGTGTAAGAAAATCATAATTATGGTTGTTATTTTAGTCATTTTAAACGACACAATTACCTAAATGTAATTTATTAATTTACCAAATGTAGAGGCAGCTCCTTGTTTGCTTATGTTCTTGCTGGTAGTTCACTTGTAAACATTTTTCATTGTGCTGCATTGACTTTCTGTCTACTCAAGAATTTTTTTATTGTAACATTACAAGTCTAGGGGCCCTTTCTGAAACTGTTGACATTTGTAAAATTCTAGGTTATCTGAAAAATCTTGATCTATATATCAGACTATGACTTACCATTTTAATCTTTTGTGATAATATACCCATTGAAGATTTTTAGCATTTGTCTTTTACCTTTAAGTTTGTTTGATGTTATTTCGTTTTTGGATCGCTGTGTGATTTACCGGTTGATGGCCCTAATGACCTTTTATGTGTTGACGGGCTGTTAAGAATGTCATAAAAATTGCTGGTACAAATTATAATTCTCAAGGGAACCTTTTAATGTTAAGAAAATCCTAAGAACAGAAGCCACATGTGACGAAAACGCCAAACTCTAAACGGGAAATAATGATAACAATTCCATAATAATTTACATAAAAAATTAGCATAAACGATTTAGTTTTAATTCTACTGGCCTTGGCATTTTGGTTTGATTTTTTTTCTTATTTCTCTTGATGGACATTACAGAAAATGCGTAGAAATAACCAGCTTTTAGTGTTGAAATCAAAGCCATTTTCTACTGCTTTCATATCTTTATTATCTTTAATACAACACAGTGGTTCCTAAATATGGTTATGTAGCAAGATTTTTAAAGCAAATTTTAAAAAGCACTGTGACATTCAAATGGTAGTCACACAAATACCAAATATAAAGTCTGTTACAATCGTGTATATTATCAAAGTACATGTAGATTCAATTAAAGCTAGAAATGAAGAATTAACAGCCAGTTCTATCTGTTCAAACTTAAGCATTCAGAAATTTTTCTTGTGCAACGTGTTGAGAATCTTGTTGTCTTGAATAAGTTGTATTCATAAATACTTCTCCAGAAGTGGCTGTAACACTCTCTGACATATGTGAGTCAAGGAAAAGGTCCGAGTTTGTTGGTTAGATTGTTTGATATGCTTTTTAAGTCAGTTTCTGATCGCATACTATAAAAATGGCAGAGTAGAAGACACACTTCTATCATCCAACATTTTTCTGAAGAAATATGAGGTTTGTAATAATTAGGTCTCTTTTAATGGACAGAAGTTGCAAACTTTTGAATTTAATGCCAGATTCCGCTAGTTCTTTCATGTTTTTTTCCAAAGCTTCCATCAGGACTAGAAGATCTACAAAGAAAATACCTCCCTGTCAACATAATCTTAATCATACTAAAAGAAATGTAAATCTAGGGGAGAATATGATTAAAAAAAAAAAAAAAAAAATACAAAAAGAACAAAACAAGGAGTTGTGAACAAGGAAGCATCTTCTGCTTGCTTCATCAACGACACTCGTCATTTAAATCTTGGTCAATCCAAGTAAGTAATATATCATTCTCTTATATCTTACAAGGCAACAGAACATTTCCTAATAAGGTCATTATGTCAACCCTAAAACTATCTTCATCAGCCTAGATCTCTAGAAACCTTCTATCATTAGTTATCTCTCAGTTGCCGTCATCTTGCACAAAACCAGAAATAAGCCCTTGAATATCGAATACTTAGAAAAACTTCAAGATGGTGATGTTGCTATCCAGAAATAGAAAATTCACAGTAAAAAATTAAAATGATCAAATTTCTCTTACAGCGTTCCGTAGAGCATTCCCTGTTTATTAGTAGGAAAAACGAGTTTGAGAAAAGAGGCTGATGTAGAAGAGTCCATTGTGTACTTGATTTCCATTTCTGTTCTTGCAGTTTAATTCATCGGCTCTATTTTATCTAACTCTAAATCATCAAAAGGTTTCATTCACTTGTGTGTCTTTTGTACAGTCTTTGTTTCCATAGGTATGCAGACAAACTGATTCTATCACTAAGTCGACAGAGATATTGTCCACAATATATTTGTTATTTACGACTTTGTCTTCCTTTTACTTGATTCGGATGTACTTTTCACGAAATTCACTTCAGTATAGTTCACAGCCATATATTTGGTTTGTCGTACACCTTACTTTGATAAAGAAAACTGAAAAAAACAACAAAGAAAATATTGACATGTAAACGTGACAAGAAAACGCAGACATTCCTGCAGTTAAGAACGTCAATGGTTAAAATTTTGAAACACCCACCTCATGAATATTCTTGTTTCTGTGGAAGATGAGTAAAACCAAGCATTCACTGCATTTGCATGTTTGGTCCTAATATCTGCCAATGACCCCGGTTTCGTCTAATCAACTCTTACATTGCCAGATTCCTGCCTCTAGAGCATCATATATCATGCTTCCAGTAACCTTTAGAGTGTTACTTGTGGTATGTCATAGTGAATGATGCGCTACGAACCAGAATTTCTCAATAGCTGCTAGATCAACTGGAAGATACATGGTGTGTTGCCTGCTTGGATGTATTTCATCAATGAAATCTGAATAGATGTTTATTCAGCAATATCACACAAGAATATGCCTTATACATGACTTCAAGTCAAAAGATAATGAGGTTAATGAAACCAACAGGAAAGCATCAAATACATCTAACTTCATTTTACACATGGGACGAGTATATTTCCCAATGATGTCGACTGTTAAACCTCCCCATGATCTTAACCAACCTGGATCTCTTGAAATCCTGTGTTGTGAGTTTATCTGCCAGTGCCAATTCTGTTTTATTCTTGTGCTGTAACGACAAAAACTGTCAATTGCATGACCAGTGTCAGTTTACTTGACTGTTGTATGTTTACAGGGCTACTTCCTTCTGAGATATCTTGAGAGGAAGGCAGGAAGAAACGTGTTTCTTCATCTGATGAAAAATTATGTACAGCAATTCCATGGAAGACTGGTCTCATCTCAGGTATGAAAATAAAAATCATATATTTACAAGCATTATTTTGACAAAAAACCCATTGTTTGGTTTAATATAATAGATACATGTAAAAATTCATATTTCACACAACTGTTGGAACACACTTATGATTTTATTTGGCGATGATATTTGCAAACTGTTATATCGACAGCAATACCATACAAACTCGCTGAAATAAGATACTTTTGAGATTGGAATAAGTCCTTCTGGCTAGTTGTAAAGGACGTGTTTATATTTTTGTGTTATCTTTCGTGTGAATCTATCATTGGATTTGGTCTTTGTATCTTATCCTTGGCATACATGGTATCATGATTGGGGAAGGTTCATAGGTCTACTACTGATGAAGTAAATGAGGTGTATGAAAACCACTTACAGGTTTATTTTCATGCTGTAGAATAACTTTAACTATCAGATTATCTGTTAAATATATTTAGGTTTTGATATTTTCTGTGATTTATTCAATGTGATATATTTTAGTCCTATCCCCACGACCTATCAGCATATCCAAACATGAAAAAGGAATTATATCACAACGTCCAAACAATAACGCAAACTTTTATACATGTAACGTCCAAATATTTTTTAAAAGATTATCACAACGTCCAAACACAATAACATTATTTATCACAACGTCCAAACACAATAACACTATTTATCACAACGTCCAAACACAATAACATGATCTTTCACAACGTCCAAACACAATAACATTATTTATCACAACGTCCAAACACAATAACACTATTTATCACAACATCCAAACACAATAACACTATTTATCACAATGTCCAAACACAATAACACTATATATCACAACGTCCAAACACAATAACATGATCTTTCACAACGTCAAAACACAATAACATTATTTATCACAACGTCCAAACACAATAACATTATTTATCACAACGTCCAAACACAATAACATTATTTATCACAACGTCCAAACACAATAACACTATTTATCACAACGTCCAAACACAATAACACTATTTATCACAACGTCCAAACACAATAACATGATCTTTCACAATGTCCAAACACAATAACATTATTTATCACAACGTCCAAACACAATAACACTATTTATCACAACGTCCAAACACAATAACATGATCTTTCACAACGTCAAAACACAATAACATTATTTATCACAACGTCCAAACACAATAACATTATTTATCACAACGTCCAAACACAATAACATTATTTATCACAACGTCCAAACACAATAACACTATTTATCACAACGTCCAAACACGATAACATGATCTTTCACAACGTCCAAACACAATAACGCATATATCACAATGTCCCAACACAACATCACCATTTTTCACAATGTCCCAACACAACATCACGATCTATCACAATGTCCCAACACAACATCACGATATATCACAATGTCCTAACACAACATCACGATCTATCACAATGTCCCAACACAACATCATGATCTATCACAATGTCCCAACACAACACGATTTTTCACAATGTCCCAACACTACATCACGATCTATCACAATGTCCCAACACAACATCACGATCTATCACAATGTCCAAACACATCACGATCTATCACAATGTCCCAACACAACATCACGATCTATCACAATGTCCCAACACAACATCACGATCTATCACAATGTCCCAACACTACATCACGATCTATCACAATGTCCTAACACAACATCACGATCTATCACAATGTCCCAACACTACATCACGATCTATCACAATGTCCCAACACAACATCACGATCTATCACAATGTCCCAACACAACATCACGATCTATCACAATGTCCCAACACTACATCACGATCTATCACAGTGTCCCAACACTACATCACGATCTATCACAATGTCCCAACACTACATCACGATCTATCACAATGTCCCAACACAACATCACGATCTATCACAATGTCCCAACACTACATCACGATCTATCACAATGTCCTAACACAACATCACGATCTATCACAATGTCCCAACACTACATCACGATCTATCACAATGTCCCAACACAACATCACGATCTATCACAATGTCCCAACACAACATCACGATCTATCACAATGTCCCAACACTACATCACGATCTATCACAGTGTCCCAACACTACATCACGATCTATCACAATGTCCCAACACAACATCACGATCTATCACAATGTCCCAACACAACATCACGATCTTTCACAATGTCCCAACACAACATCACGATCTATCCCAACGAAAGAAAACAATAACACGAACTGTCACAAAACTTAAATACCATAACACAATCTATGAGAACGTCCAAACATGGAATCTTAAATAATGTATTTGCTTTTTAAATTATTAGGAAGCCTTCTCTTTGAAGTGTTTTTATTGTAGATTGTATTCACAAGGGTATAGAACCAATTTTTTAAACCAGATGTTAATATGTCGTCATCGTGATGTCATATTGATATTCCGTTAGCCAACACTTTGAAATGACAGGTTGTTAAATTATAATTAATTTAGATATAAATAAATGAATGAAATTCGGGTGACAGATAAACCATCTTGACGTGTTCTAACTCTCTTTATCTTTAACCTAGATTGCATGAACAATTTTCCTAACTACAATTTGATGACCACTCAAAGTGTTAATATAATCTGACGACCATTCAAAATTTACGAGATAGCATTAACCATGGAAGAGAAATAAAAAAAAAGTTATTTTCGCAGTGTTGTGGTATAGATGTTAATGACCTACAAGCTTTTAATGTTTTGTTGGGAACGTGACGAAACGTTCAATAACAGAATGATTGAAGTAACACGTATGAGTATTTAGCACTTCATGATTTTCTCGGCGTTATAGCTTATGTAATCAAATTGTGCTAAATAGCTGTTGTTGATTGTCTTTAGTTCAGACTGTTTGATGTGTCATTCATGTTATTCAATTTCATAAAGAATATATTTCCATATTTGGGCATAAACAGCCCGAAGAAATAAGAATACTGCTCACATGCAAGTATCCACTATTTAGATTTTAGGACAAATTAGTTTCACTGTAAAATTTCGTTATCCTATTTACATATATATTTATCAATGATATTGCATTTGAGCTTCATCATACAAAACAGAGCTCACGTGCAATATCGAAATAGTGAACATTGGCGACGAGCAAGGTTAAGCAAGTAGGATAAAGAAACGATGAATATTTTTGGAGTTGATTTGAAGTAGAAACATTTCTTTGGAAATCGGAATATTTTCATTTCAGGATGTGTTGACGTTTTTTCTTGGAAATTGTTCAGAATTTCGGTAAGTATCATCCCGTGCTGTTTATATATTTTAAATTAAGTACAGTATTCCTCAGAAATATTGTGTTATTATTCACGACTAATATAAGCAATAGAATTATATTTGTAGGGAACAACATATTACAGAAGATGCACTCAGCCGTGACTGGTTGGACTGTCCTGGTATACCTAAGGTAAATTATCGTCCTCGTTCCTTTTACTTTGTTTACAAATAAAATGGAACATTTGATATCTGAACTAAAATAGCGATCATTGGTCAAGGATAAAGAGTCACACATGATCACTTTTGAAATGCAAAAATGTGAAGAAGATATCTTTTGTAACTGTCGACAGAATAAGGAAAAGTTCACGCCATAATATTGTAACTACTACAGAAACTGCTATTGTAATTGATGTATTTGGGTCGTGACTTGTCAGAGTTACAGGATCAAAGGTAGCAATCTAATGTTTTTTGAAAGTAACATGTGAGAGGGTGCATTGGAAGATATATATGTTATGTAAGCACTTGTACACTTTGGTTTTATTGTTTGTTAAAAGAAGAATAAACCTTAACATATGATTTCCATGATCACCTTGCCCTTCGTTCGTTGGTTGTTGGTAGGTTAACTGGTAGATTAAATCTATTATGTATGACTGACTCATTTTCAGGTACATATAAGTCATTATTGAAGTATTAAAGGGAAAAAGTAGTTTGATAAGTTCTTGCATGTCTTAGATATCATCAGGGCTTTCAATTAAAAAAAGGAAATTTAACAACTGATAAAAAAATACATACAAAACAGGTTATTGAATTTTATGATTGACACCCGATGAGTTGGACTTTGTCAAAGTATGTTATCGTTATACTTATCATTATCCTTTCAGCATTTACAAAACTTCCAAATGGACAAAGATAATGTTATAGCGACCCAGGTGATCAGTGAGGTAATATCTTTCATGTAATGAGTGATGTTTGTTTGAAATACAATATGCTATTTATTTGTAAGCTGTAATACAACCAGTAAGCTCAAACTCAAAGTGATCTATTGAATGGTGTAATAAAAGACCATGATGGAAAGACACGGAAACAATATAATGATACAGTTAAAGGTTGTTATGATATCTCTGTATTAGTTGATTGACCTCTCTCCTCCCCTCCCCTCCCCTCAGAGTTGCTCATTTCTCATTCGTATAGAAGAATGGGCCTATTTTTTAATCTGCTGTTCCAAAAGGCTTTCATACTTCTTTAGTATTTCATGATTGTAACGTTTACATGATTTACTTGCCTCGTTTTCCTGGATCTTGGAGTATTCATAATCAGGCAAGACCAATTGCCATACCGAAACTATCCTACCTGTTTTTCCAATGTAACATAAAAAAACCAATTTTCATGATGTAATACTTACCATAACTTTATTTATCCTCGCCTAGCTTTCTCTCTACCTCTTATCCGCTATTTTGTTGTCTTCGGATGTCATGTTAAACGAGAGCTCTAAAGTGTGTGTTGGAGAAGGTAGGCGGTATCAAGTGTTAATGCTTGGCACATTGACTAAAGTGAATCATGATTTTGGTAAATTTTTTGTTTTGTTTTTTATGTTTTTATTTAAAATCCTCCAGATATTGGTTTCCCTAGCAATATTTACAATATTACAGCACAATTTGGCTTGGCTTAGTTGTTTTGCACTAGGGAATTCGTTTTGAGTAATGATCTAAAAACCTAAGATATATACCATTATTTTTTCTTGCAACAAAATGATTAAACTACAAAGCTTTAAAGATGAATTATTGTAATAACGCCGGTTTATGTACGTTTTACATTTTGTTTGATGCTGGTTTCATGTTTTAAATGTTATTCTAAAAGAAAAATAGGTTTATTGTAAGACATTTAGAGTGGGTTCCCACGGCATGGTGATATTGATGACTGCGTTGTTAAGTAGGTTTTGATTGGTTGAGCAACAATCATGTAATGTTAATTTGCATCTATTGCTCTTGTTTATCTATGAACAGCAATAAATGACTAATACATAAACAAACACAGGCGCATTAAAACGTATGCTATTGTTGTCGCAGAGTTATAGATATTATCTCTCCGTTCTTCAAAGTTTCCACCTTCCTGTCCTTTCAAAAAATCCGAAGAACAATGTATGGCGGCTGCATTTACAATTAATTAAATGTTTATATTTTCTCTCGTTGTTCTATTTGTCACCATGGAAACGTAATTTGGTGCAATCCTGTTGGTTGAACACTAAATGTGAGAAGAAACTTGTATATTATATCTATTTTACCTCATAACGTTTTCCTATTTGACAAGATGGACGGCGCTAAGAGTATAGATTTTTCCTTTTTTCATTACATTTATCATGCTGGTAAAATTAAGGCGTTGCGATTTCTTTGCAGTTTCTTTTTTAGACATCGGGATTTTTTGCCCAACTGTTGCCACCAATACAACATATACGTTCTGTGATGACAATTGTATTTTTGATTATACATATGTTTTATGCATGTCATAACTTCCTTTATTAGGTTGGTGCGTTGAATGAAATCTCCATAAATGGGAAGGCTTCTAAAAAGAAGTTGCAGCGTAAACGACCATGTTTCGTGAAGGTTTGTTTTCTAGTTACACCCAATAGACCGTCAATGCCATTGGACCACCTTTTCGTATATTTTGGTCTTGGCAAAATGCCATATTTCAAAGACAAGTTGCGGTTCACGGAGACAAAATGTTAAATTTTAATTTTGAAATCATGGACACTGTTGAATGGCACCAAAGGACGTATGTCGACTGCAGATGATCAAACAGTGTCTAGGAAGGGTTTTAGCCACGATTTGGCTTTTGTTTAATTCTGTTAGATCATACTCCAAATATCACTAACACTGATATGGCGCAACTCGAATATGTCCCGAGACTTTTTAAGGCATTCGAAACGCAAGAATGAGAAATTTAATGATGTGACCGCTCGCATGGTAGACGTGACATCAAAGTGTTTGACTGAGCATGTTTCGTGAGAAAACCAATCCAGAAGGCAGACGCTTCTCCTGTGTTCCAAATGCTTCTCCCATGGTCCTGTATTCCCCCTGACTGACAGTGACATTTTCTGTTTTACATATGTGGCTTACCAGTACATATCGTTCTATACATTCGTAGGTATCTAAAGTAAACACGGCGGAAGCTGTGAGAATTGAGTTGGAGTCTTCGATAATGAACCAATTACCACCATTATCTGACCTAATAATATGGATGTCTGACCTAGATATTGTGTTTAAATTCTTGTTATGCAACCAACAGTCACGTAACTGATAATAGTTTCATGTTATTGTTTCGACAAGCTGCCGTGGCCGAAAATTTAGATTGAGTCTGCCCACGTGTTTTTGATATCAACGTTTCTGTTCACGTAGACTAATTAAAAAACCTTATTAAAGATATTGCGGATCAAAGCAGTATCCTTAAAAAGGAATATAAATAATATGTCAACATAATCATATTCCAAGCTCAAATTCAATAAAATATAAACAAAAGAAAGCTTCACACTGAGACTCCTAAAAAGTACAATGAGAATAAGACCATGTGTACCGAAAGGGTAAGTGTCTTCTGAGTCATCGACGACACCCGCTATGTAAATCTCGGCCAAATCCAAGAAAGTAATGTCACATACTTAAATGAGAACAAAGTATACAACAAGGGAAAGAACAGGCAAACTTAACGATGATCATATACGTCCAACTTCGTCGCATATAGAAATGGAGTATTTCTCAATGAGATCACTATGACGACCGTAAAACTTCCTCATAATTTTCATCAACTTGCATCTTTTGAAACCCTGTGTTTCAAACTAATCCATTTTCTGAGCATGCTACTAAAAATGTTTTTACCCTGCTAATGCTAGTGCTTAAAGATATGCCACTCAAAGTAATAGGTCTACATGATTATGTAAATTTGGCGATCAGATCATGGTACAACTCATTGATGTTTCAATAAATGTCCATGCATTATTCTCACAGTGTTCAAATGCTTATGTTTTCTGCAGTGGAAAAGATCAATCTTCCGCTTGCGTCTCCTTCATACACCGATACGGTGTATATCTGTAATATTGATAAACAATAACATTAATTGAGTTTAATATGGTATTAGAATGGTATCGCGGGGTATGATATATGGTATCTCAATCCAGCTGATTAAGGAACAATAAGATTTATTTAACAAGCTAGAACGAGGGAAGCTTTTCCTGGAATGAACGTGACGATATCGAAGGTCATAATCTACTGCGAAATTTCTCTCTTCCTCCACCTTCTACTTGCAAGCAACTATATAATTTATATGCAGATTTCAGTTGCTAAAACTTGAATGGAAATGCTATAGTCATTCACGAAAACTTGATGTTATCGAAGTCGTATGAATTCCTTTGTACATGTCAAACGCATAGTACTTTTCGGCGGAAAAGTTTCACAACATTTGATTTCGATCGTCAGTGTAGCTATAAGCGACCGGCTATCGCCGAGAGACAATAAGGCCACATTAATTACATTCATGTTTGTATTGTACATGATTACTACATGCATATTGCCATTTTGTTGCCTTATTTTCGCTGAAGCCGTTCTTAAAAGTCAAATTAAGACAACATTTCTATTAAAACCCACTTTTCAGCCTCAAATCTTCCTCTTTATGTCTTTGTATTGTAATTTTCACTGTTTACATCACGAAATTAAGACCATTTAATAAAAAAAAGTCCCAGAGACAAATTTTGCATTGCATTTCACCGTATTAATTTGACAACGGACCATTCCTAAAATCCATGCCTGTTGTTTATTCCACCGAGTACATCTGCCAGATTTTAGATCAATTGGATATATTTGGGTGTTAAACTGAATTCCAGCCGTAATTACTATGTTTTTAACAATATGAAACGAACGTGTTAATTTAATGACTGTAAACATGGACAAATCTGGCTGTAATAGAAGCCATGTTTGCTCGGTCATACTTGCTATTCAGACCACCCTCTATTATGACCACTTCTGTCGTGTCCTAAATGTGACCTCAATAGTGTGGTTTCAGCGTAAATACACGCATGAAAACTCGAACAACTAGGTCACATTGGTTACATTTGAGATATATGTTTCCTTGTTATTTTCACTAACATCGACACTGGGAACAAGCGATTATCACCTGTAAGTCGGGAAATAATTGTTCTCGGCTACTTTGTCTTGAGTTTCGCGTCATTAACACCATTCCCTGCATTTGTATTTTTAATGAACTGGCTTTAGCCAAATTATTATTATTGTGTTGACATTAAATGGTGGGGTTAAGCTCACGAAATCCATTCTTTGTTGATGTTTGGCAGTAGGATCGACTCCTAAATCTCAAATCAATCTGAGTTGGGAAAGACCATATTTTTATTAGCGTGAAATGAACGCGATCTTTCTTCGTTGAGCACTCGAGAACAATGCTTTGCTGATTGATGCAGTTTGATTATTTTGCATATATTGTATATAATATGTTATTTGTACAGCCAGGTGCGACTTTCTTGTGCCTTTTGTACTCTCCTTCAAATTGTATACCTATTTAACATATCCAAAACCACTGGAAAAGTAATCGGCTCAAAAGCGACACCTCACAATAAGACCATCTGTGTTTCGGATACGCGTTACGGTACATAGAATTAGTGGTTTACGTTGCAGAAAATGGCTAGAAAAATCCAGGGATGGGGAATCATACCTGCATATATATATTCTTTACTTAATATTTCATTCACAATTTATTCCATTGTCCTTGATAATTATGAAATACTAACGAAGATCACTACTGATATGTTATTATTCGACAGGGATAAACTTACTTCATATCTTACCCGACTGTCAACATGTGTTTACTATTACATTTTCTTAAGGTACTTCCTTTGGTAAAAAAGATATAAGTAGAACTTCAACATACATTCATTTTAACTGTTGTATATTATATGAGCTGTAGATTGTATCACTAAAGGTAAAACCATCATTGGTCTGATTTTGGTATTTAAGCTATTCAACTCGCCATTCGTCCATCGTCTTTCCTTCCTTAAACGAATATAATTTTCACTGTTTCTTAAGAAATACTGAATCATGTTCAAACTGCCATTTTGGAACTGACCAGAGAAACAAAGCTATCGATGGGAGTATTAAGCAGTTTGGAATTGACCATTTTCTGTATTAATATACGATTTCTCTTCGTCCTTAGTTGTCGTCAACTTTGTGTCTGATATAGATGAAAGATGGCCATCTTGGATTTGAACATTATAGTTTGTAATCACTATTTCTCGAGAAGTTCTTCGTGGATCTTCCCTCCTTGATCCTACTTGCATTTTCTGTTTTGTGACTTTGTGAAAGGATAGATTGGCCGACAGGCGTCCATCTTGGAATTTGATCGTTATAGTTATTATGTCTTCAGCAATTATTTAAGATTATTCTAAGATTCCAAAATTAAGGTTTCCTTTGACCCTAGCTCTTCCTTGCACATCCATGTTTGATTGAGAAAATAAATTCGTTTGGGACTGATCAGAATAACCAAATGACCTTCAGGCGACCATCGTAGATGTTCACAGATATGAATTGTAATCATTATTTCTTAAAAAAGTAGATGATGGATCATTTAATATCCTTTGACCAGCAGTTGTTCATATTTGACATATGGATCAATTGAAAAGAAGAGTAAAGAATGGAAAGATGAAAAAAAAGGACTAAACTCGTAAAGACAGTGCAGTTTCGGGCGTCATGGTGCCTCCGTAATCCCTTTCATCGAAAATGTCTATTTATTGCATGTTTCATAATTGTCTCGGAATCACCACCAATAAACTGTTAAAGCTGTGCTCATACCAATGTAGATGTTCGAAATTTTACATCAATTTTCAGTTTTTCAGTTTCTATATATCCCTTCTTTTTCTTTTTCTTCTTCTCCTTCTTCTTCTTCTTCTTCTTCTTCTTCTTCTTCTTCTTCTTCTTCTTCTTCTTCTTCTTCTTCTTCTTCTTCTTCTTCTTCTTCTTCGGTTTCTTCTTCAGACATTTTAACATGATTTCGAACTAGAACGTTATATTTAACTAAAAGTTATATTTTCGTATTAAAAAGATTTTTGTTTGGAAGTCAAAATTTAATCTTTTCGTTATGAGTTAATCAATGCGAGAGAGGTAAAAAAAGAGGTAGTAAAACATCGATATTTGATTTCATTCTTAGAGAGTTTATCTTTTGAGCATGATCATTTCGAAGTTATAAAATACTCTTTAAAACACGCATGTGATAGTGTAAACAAGATGGCGACAAAAGGACAAAGATTTGGTTGGAATATAATAGCATATATTTCGGCAAATATATCTTGTATTATGTTGTCAGATCATCAAATGTAATCATGATGAACTCAGATTAGTTATTGTCACTACGGCCATTAACATAAAAATTAGGATTATTATATAAATACTCATTTATTTGAAAGCTAACAATAAATAAGTATTTACATAATATTGATAGATAATTTGATAATGAATAACCCGGTTTATAGTTTTCAAAGAAAGAAAAAAAGAAGTCTTGTTGTTTTCAAGTGATGAATCCTGGGTCTTTGTTTAAAACTATACAGATACAGTAGCGTGGTACGTAAGGACCGATAAGTTTGTGGTGACATCCGAGTCGTTGTGTAAACCATTTTACCTGAATTTATAGATCTTTTTTCTCTCTCTTTAAGATGGATGCAATTCAGATGACCTTGCTAATGGAGGAGCTTCTACACACAGATAAATTGGGTCGAGATGTTCTCTCTGCTCTCGGAAAAGTTCATAACATATCAACCCAAAACCCAGAGGTATGCTTAAAAATTCTTTCCTGCTTTTGACATTGATTTATTTTATATTCATTCTACTCTTCCCACTTGTTTGCTGCAGAATAAAAAAAAAATTGGAAAACAAAAGCAATGCAGATTTATCACATTCAGAAGAGATCATTTGAAATGCATACATTTTCAGAACCTTTTTGTGAAAGTTATGTTTTTCGATTTTTGTTTTGTTTTTTGTTAAGTTATGTTTTTTTGTTTCTGTATTTTTGTTTTTGTTTTGGGGGGAAGGGGGCTCTCTGTTTTTGGATTTCAACATTACCTCTTCAAGTAGACGCTAGACATATCTTTACACAGACCCATGTCAAACATGCTCTCGACACCTTGCTCCGAAGTTTGTGGTCGTTAGACCAACAAAAGTAACTAAAACGTTAGTGGACATTTATTAATTTTCCTGATGGTACTTATACTTTATGGCGTCGCCAGCAGGTTTTAGAGAAATTGTTTTGCCGCAGTGTTGTAAAAATAGGGTCGGTAGAAAGAAATGGGATTATCGGAAAACCTGAAATAAGATTATGGGGGGTTTATGTTAATGGTACACAATTCTGAATATGACAACATTGCTATGACTCGCAATGCTACTCAATTTCTGTACGGCCAGAAAACCAGAATATCTGTGATTATATTATTTTTATTCTACGTTGTATATGGAAATAAAGATTATTTACTATTTTATTTTACAGAACAGAATGGGTTCAATAATTTATAATGGAGAGGCTTTTTCGAAGTGCATGGTCTGAATATGATCACTCATTCTCGATAGTGGTCATGACAGGAAGTGAATACAATCCTAACTATTCAATGATATAAATCTACATGATTCATGAATAATGTTTGTGAAGCACAACGAGCGTTGAATTACGGTTTTAGATAATATAATGTATTATTGTAAAACCATGTATTTTTGTTTGCTCAAATTTCATGGGTTAAAAAATAAAAATAAAATAAATAAATGTGGACACCTGATTTCGTTAATAAATACAACTCAATTGAGAGGTATGGCGTGTAACCGCTTGATCCGAACTAAATGTGGCCAACAATGAAATTGGAATTTTTTTTCTCTTTATTGACGAATTTGGATTGGTAATTAAAATGAGTTAATTCAAGATGCTAATTAACAGTAAAATAGCTGAGATATGTCTCATGTATTATCTTTTACTAGTATTTATTGATTGTCAAAGTTGCTGCTTTAAGCAATAGCGCTAAAACACGGGGAATCTTCCCCACTGTAAATGTAATTTTAACACACAGAACATATATGTGCGGTTCCAACATATTGACATCTGAACCTAATCTAGAGTGATCAGATGAAACAAATCCTTTCCTTAAAATATTTTATAAGCATCCGCAGATACCGAAAATTTGAAAATAAAATTGGACCTAAAATGATACGTACTAATGTTTTCCATTTTGAATTTACGATGAAAGAGTCGGAACTTTGTGCATCAGTGTCTACAATACAGACGGTAGGTAAAATCCTACGTTAATCTATTTTCATGGGGGTCACGTTTGATATCTGCTACTAACATCATGATATTGTTATATCATTTTCAATAATTCTGCTGTAAACTGTAGTAACGACGTCGATTAATCTAATTGTTCATATTCTTTCGCATTGCAGCGATTGTTGGCCGAAACCCAGCTTAATATCGCTAGTGATTTTGATTGAGTGACACCGTGTCCTGCTTGATGAAGACATTTTATATCATCTCAATGTTCATTATTTCTTTAGGATTATAAAATGTCACATATCAAACAGTAATCCGGCCAATGAATTGATCTTTGGTTTTCAATTTTCTTGTGTATTCCTTGCTTTAATCGTAACGCACCACTTTCTGGACGTGCATGTTCTATATTAAAACAGGATGACCCCGAATGCACGTTTACCTGTCGTCATGAGGCATCGCAAAAGCAATGAACTGAAATAAGTATTCCCTCACAGTAAGACGCCATACCTCTTTTCCTTATACTATTTTGTTCAGTTCGTGCAGATAGAAATTCGATGATAAAGAGTACCCTCGAAAAGATAGGAAATAAACCCTTACGAAATGAATGATTTTAGAGCAAATGAAAGGTCAAGTCATTGACTCGAAAATCAGAAGAAAAAATGATATTGTGCGATACTAATATCTAGCATACGTTTAATGTCTAATACAGAAAAGGATACACAGCATCTTTTATTGATATATATCTACATGTCTCAGTTTGTCTTACTGAATACCTGAAGGTGGTTCCTTGGTTTTTTAATCGTTCAAGCTAAAAGGAAACTAGGATCTGGTTCCCAGTTCCGTTTTTCTTAAAGATAACGATGAATTAGGAACTTGGAAACAACTTCAGGCTCACTGCCTTAATGAAGTATTGTGGTCATCATTGTCACATGGTTGTCTTTTGATAAAGACTGGTTTCACTTTTCAGATCCTGCGTGTTTCTGACTACAATTATACACACTTTGATTAAATGACGAAGAAAGTGTGCCATATTGGCACACTGCATTTGTGGTTCTTCACTGAATAGTCACTGATTGTGCTCTTGGGGAATGATGATGAAAACCTGACCGAGTTTAAGTTATTATAGTTATTTAATTTAACACGAGTAATTGATAACATTCGACTCCGTGCATATACTTAGCTTTTTATAAATAATAATATATTCAGTTATACGTATAGATTAATTACAGGTTTTATCATGTGCATAATTTGTGTTATTAACGAAATGTTTAATAGTGGATGTTTATATGGATTTGTTGTTTGATTTGTTTTTTTATAGATCCAGCATCGATGGTGTGAACTCGTCATCAAGTACAAAATAAGAAAACATTACGAAGATATCAAGAACTTCCTTGTTCATCATCAGGTGTGTTAACATATCCACATACACAAGTATGAAAGATATCCAACTACTGAAGTTCCCAAGTTAATATTTATATCACTGGAACTGTTTTGTATGCTTTGAGTGATAAACACTTTTAAGTTTGTCCTTTGGTTGAAGAACACACTTCTTGTTTCTTAAGCCAACCAATTATACCGAAACTTGGGAAGAAGGCATAATGTATATGTATCTTTGACTCTGCGCCATGCGTTTGTTATTCCGTGAACGCAAAGTTAGAATTTCGTGTACAGGATATTCTCAGGAAACCATAGAAACATTAAGATAATGTCTTCAAATTCATGTTGTATCGTGACATCATACTTGCAAATCAAATTATACCTAAGTTGTCATGGTTCATTTACTTTCAGGCTCTTATGTTAATTTCATAAGTGCAGCTTTAAATTATAACTGGCATCCTTTCTGATTTTGGAGGATTTTATTTTCCTTTATTTGGCAACGCATTTATTATGAACAAATAGGAAAATTCCCAATGTTCTTAAATTCTAAATAAGTTAACATCACTTACACATCAAAAAGGTGAAAAAAATGGTTTGAAATATCAGTATGTAATTTTGGGTTTATTCAGGCATGCAATTTTAAATGACATTTTAAAACTTAATCATAAGTAATGGAGTTTGTGGAAATTAAAAGATATAACGAAACCTGGCTACCTAGGGAAATTATCATACAGAGTCATCTGTATGTAGGTTCATTTCTACAGGATTCTTAGAAGGGCAATTTTCAGAACATTATGTATGCAAACTGGTAACAATACATCGATATCCTCTCGATTCATTGCCAGTTGAAAACAATCTCTACTTTGTGACAATCGGTGCTTTGAAATAAATTTTTGGAGGTCAGTGATTGTAGAATCCTTGTCAACTTCTGCCGAAGTTAGAGATTGTTTAGAGGTGATTCTGATGATGGTTATCTTTAAGCTTGGCACCAACCATATCACGCATTGCTGTACATGTATATTTATGGTATATACGCTACATCAAACTGTTAGGAAAAAAATAGATATTTATTTGTGTTTTACAGTCTGATATTTGACATGGTATACAATATACTAGCTGTCATCATATAAAATTTATTACGTTTGTTTTATCAATCACAGTTTGCTAAGGGGATTAATATCGAGGCCTTTTGATATCCGTTTTTCAGGCGATGGGCGTTTATTTGTACGGCGAACTTATCATTTCAAGAGATAAGGAACAGAAAGCACTCGCATTAGGTATATTTGAACAACTGAGAGGCGACATGGAACCTGATTCACTGCAGTCTATATGTGCAATGCTGTTTGGATAATACATGAAGAACGCAACTGCATTCAGAAGCGTGTATCATCCTTGTTTACTTTATTGTCATCTCTTGGAATAAAATTTAGACCATTCTGTAATGTTCTTTTACATATAAGCTTTTTACTTGTGTCTATTTTTGATGCCAAGAAGGCGTTTTTGCTCCTAGACAATTTATATTTCCTGACGTCATCAATTAAGCTATGGGGATAATAATGTCTACGGAATTATGTATTCTCTTACTCTTGACAGGTAAATTCAAGCTTTTTATCGGTAGGAGATTTCCTTGTCTCACACCAGCTTTGTGACGAGGAATTTTAATGTCAGGACTATGATATGTCACAGTAACAATTTACCGACTTCACGTCAACAATTAAATCAAGTCAATTACTCGAGCACGGCAACAAAACAAAAAACAAGACTAAACTAAAACACACACTAGTACCCGATAAGGACAGCAGAGTAAGAGAAAAATAATTTACTTCCTTGTTAGTGAGATAAGCGATCTCAACTCTCGGGGTAAGATGTTTAAGTTGCGAACACTCTGCATGCCTTGTGTGTGCTTAATCGTCTTTCTTCTCTCAATGCGATCCACCTATCTCAATTCCATGGGGAGATGCACTTATCATGTGATACACGTATATGTTACTATAGTGTCTGTTACGTATACTATGCATATCTATGAAAATAGTCATTTAACATTGATTTCGATCTTTACCGACTAGGGCAATTTCACCTTTATCGTCGGTCATCGTGCACGGTCCGTCAGCTTTTCGTCATCAACACCACTCCTCCCGAACGCGGATTTCAATACATTTTGGTCTGTCTGGTTGATTGCAGAGAGCAACGATTTCTTAATCATATCGTGATTAAATTGAGTAATCGGTATCAGTATACTTCTTGCTTCAAAATCTCCTCCAGAAGGCATTTACAAATTGCCACTGTTTGTGCCCTTTGTCATCTCTTGGATGAAATACACCTATATTATTTGTTTATTGTAGAAACACAGTTTGAACATCTTTACTATTTGGAAACAAAGGTTCTTCTTCAATAATTTCATTGATTTTTCATATTTGTTAATCTTCCTGCTTCTATTTTTATTTTCACATGGATGTTAATGGTTTAGGGGTCTCGGTGTATAATTCAACCCGGTTTCATCAATTTGAGTGTATTATCATGTAAGCATTTTTTTAGTTTTGCATTTAACTTTTATTTCTGATAAATGTTAGTTTGTTTGTATGCCTTCCATTTGAGAACGTGACATTACTTCCTAGGTTTGACCAAGGTTTACATGCCTGGTGTCGTCGATGAAGCAGAAAACACTTACTCTACCGGAACACCTGGTCTTATTCTCCTTGTACTTTTTCAGGTGTCTGCGTGTAAATCTTTCTTTTGTTCATATTTTGCACTAGTTTTGTTGTTTTGATATTGAATTATCATTATGTTGTCATGTCTGTATTTTCTTGATTTTTTTTTTATAAACGGGTACTAGAGAGAATAGACAAAAAAGTATAAATAAAATGTATGAATTCGTCTCCAAACAAGTATGATATGTAGAAAACAAGGCGTGATGTCAACATTGATAATCTGACTTATTATGCTGATTGTAATGGGTTTTTAGTCGTATATATATTTTTTTCATATCCATCAATAGCTATCAGTATTATCAGATTCATCCACAAGGAATATTGCCAACTTAGATTTGGGAATCCTGCTGTTTTCACGTCCCATTTATAGTTCTATAATTTCAAAGTACGTGGATACTGTCTACAATAACAAGTTGAAAAAAATTCAACATTTTATTTTATAACCTGTGATATTATTTCATTTTATAGGAATTTTATAATAAATATTATACCAGCTGCAATTCCTTCATGGATAGGAAAACTGGTTTGAGAAATTATGTCTAAGACGATCAAGAAATATTGTTAATACCTCTGTTGGTCGTTTCAAGGAAGAATTTTCTTTACCAACGTTTTGCAGTTTCGAAACAAATTTAAAATAAAGCCCTTTGTGAGTTGTGTAGCATGGAACCTTATAAGAATTAGTATTTTATGAATTCTGAGAAACTAGGGAACAATCATAGACTTGAAATGACTGTGATTGTCTCATAAACGTTCAGTCATTGAACTTAGGACGAAAATCTAAGACGATAATGCGAAATGTATTTTCTAAATACTAACAAAAGAAAGCAGATACGTTTTGTACATTGTTAGTTTGAAATATTTTAGACAGTACATTAGTCAATTTTCCAATCTGATGTCATCTATTAATTGTTACAAATAGATACTGAAATGGATGAAAATCGGTTGCAGCTGACTGGATCTAAACACGCCCGAACTGAATCATGCTATTACGTTGTGGATAGATGAGTAACATATATTTTTGCTTGGCTGCATATATGAAATTAGATCATTGAATAGGATGCACCAATTTATGACTTCATGTATTTCAGTTAATTAAAAAATCTAACTCATTTGATTATATTCGTTAAAAAATATTAGGTCATCCGATTTCAATTTAACGTTAACGTATTTTCTATTTGTTCAATCCAGTTCATCTCATTGAACAAACAGAAATTACGTCCAAATTTCACAGATTATCTTCCGGAGTTTGTGCAACATTCAAGCACAGCGTCATATAGATGTTTGTCCTTTTAGGATATGTCAGTGACATAAAGGGCCTGAAGTATTAAGCTAGGGGACGACTGAAGAAACAGTTGTCAAAACGAATATCAAAGTCTAGATGGGAAGGAACATTATTCTCACACTTCAATTAAATTCATCTCCGTGTAAATCTTTCCTTTTTATGGGTTGTGATTATTTTGACATTAATGTCTAATAATTTTAGAAAGAAAACAAGTACATGAGTATTTTCTGAACCACGTAAATCGAAATTTTTAAATGTGTTTGCGTTAAGCTTGGCATCTCGGCCAATGGCGAAATGATAATGTCAACGTTGAAAATTAATGTGGCGGAAGTATTCTTCCAGAGTATCCTCGAATGAGAAATCATCCTAATTGCGGATTGTTGCAAATATCTTCGTCCGCATGTATTATTTCCCTTTTATCCAACTTAGTAATAAGGCAACTGAGGAACTCATCATGACATGAGCGTTTTGACAAGAATATCTAGACAAGCGATTGTAATTGCCTTTCCTTAAACATCCGTAATATATCTAAATGTCCAAATTGATAATAGTTATCTTAGTCGCATCACATCGTATCTTTTGTTTCAAAAGTAAGCCACTGTCTAATAAGACTCATACATCAACGCTTGCAACTTTCAGTTAGATTAAATTTTTTTCAACTCTTGTATGCTTCCTTACTTTGTCTAAGGCGTTACTGTTTGAGCAAATGCTCATTCATTTTCATAAAGACAGTATTGTCCAAAGCGTAGAAAAATGCTTGCTTTGCGATGCTGCATGCTAACTCTTTCGAAACACCTGGTCTTATTCTCCTTGTACTTTTTCAGAGACTTCTTGTCTCTGATAAAAATGTTTAACTACGATTGGCTAGGACTATAGAAGTACAATCCGGTAACGTTTAAATGGAGTCTGTGTATTGTCAGGTGGTATGATTGGGATCGCGTCCTAGTAACGTGACTTGTGTGGGATGTTATACAATCATGCTGCAAAACAGAACCAGATCCTTGACGCTGTAAAACGGAACCGAATGGATACCAAACAGCATGTACATTTCCATGGACAATGACAAATCTGATGGGATTAACATATGATATCCATCACACTATACTCACCAAATCTGCCACGCTGGGCTACACACGTAAGAGACATCTTCATTTTCAGCCCAGTCAAGGCGATTGATGGGATGATGTCGCATAAAGATGTGGCTTCTCGCACACATTCGTTGATGCTTCGGCCTGTTACAGTCGGGCTGTTTTCCCGTTATAAATGCAGGAAGAAACCGACCCCGAAGATGCTGCAGCAGTATTAGACTGTTTTCACGAAGGGCGGTAACTCCTGATCGACCGATCCTGGTATGATCGGATGTTAAAGCGTTTACATTAAAACGTTACCATAATTGGGATACCTTTTTTGGTTACACTCAACTTCACGTTTTGTCGACATGGAGCCTGCCATTACCTCTTTCCATCTCTTCTTTCGACAGACACAGTATTGCGTTAGTTTATACATCTAAAAACCAAATACAGGTTTTCAAACGATAGAGGTTTTGAGAAATTATTTTTTATGAAATTCAACTGAACTGATTTCAAGAAAATGTCAACTAATTCAAAACAGCTCAGTTTCTGGAAAAAATCATTATAAACAACCAGCGTTCGGTGTATTGTAAGGCAACTTGATAACTGATTTTTATTTGCTAAGTAATTGTAATACGCGATGATAGCACTGTTAAAGATTGAAATGATTATAACACTTTTTTAATCATAGTTGCTCACCTGCTGTGTTCGAATTTCACAATGATCATATTGAAAAAAATTACTTACGAAATATAGAAACGTTTTCGTTAGCCACGTGCTGGGGTTCATATGTTGTAAGTAAGGCTCATAATTATTTTTCATTTATTTTTCTATTTCTTTTTAAATATAGTAAATGATAATGAATACATATAAGTCGCCTTTTGATGAAGACATGGCGTATATTTCTCATTTCTCCGGCAGCGAATATTGCTCATCTAAAGAGTCATTTAGAATATGTATCTGTAATTACACTGTGTTTAATCGGTTGGTGTCAATTGTTCTTAATGCGTGGGTCTTGTCAATGACAAGCAAGTTATCGGTTACCATTGAAGACAGCAAGCGTCTTTAAAAATTTTGGTTGTAGCAAATCCATTCTGTTGTTAGAAGGTCAAGCTTCTTTTATCTTGGGCATGGCTGGTATTGCTTTCAACACTCTTTCATCTCAGTTTGTTCTAATCTTAACAGCAGGACCATTAATGTTAATACAAAAACCTCATTGTAATAAAACGGAATGCTCCATCTTTGACAGCCTCTATTTAAATCAGTTTGATTTTTAAAGTGAACTCATGAATGTACTCCAAATAAGCTAATCGCTATGCCCACTCATATGCTATTATACATATAAAGTCAACCGGAAAAAGTTTGACTTGGTTTAGAAATATTTTGCTGCTTTATCGAGATGGACGATTCCATTCGATCACGAACTGTAATGAAACTTGTTCCCTGTTAAAATTGTATCGAGATTTAAAAGGTTTTATTGCTATGTGAAATCATTTATCAAATAAGAACGATGAAAATTCAGAGTCAGAACCAATTTTCAGGAAAACGTAATCTGACGTGGAAAAGTTAACAGTGAAACTTTAAGGGACTTTTCATCATTTCATTAGCTGTGAAACCTTGAACAGATGATGTCAATGCATACTTTTGTTGTTTTTTCATTGTCTTTGGATTCCTGACAAGGTATAATGCAATGCTAGACGGATAAAGAAACTATTGTGTCGTATTTCTGTCAACCAGTTACTTTAGGTTGTAACATCGCAACATTGATCAGGCCATGATTCCACAGCTGATACAGAGCCGGTTCAGAGTTCATTCACTTCTTTACTTTAATGGGCGAAAATTAACTAGGTTAGATAGCGGGCGAATACAGATTGATCACTCTGGTCAAATATAAAGACGTCTTTGTGTTATTCCTAAACGCTCTGCTGCGAAGATTCGATAATGGAGTCGTTGAGAGGAACATAAAGGAAAATCCACTCATTCCCGACAAAGTCTTGTGTAACTTTTATCATTGAACTTGTGCAGGCAAACATATTCCATAAAACACGAACGGTGTTTCGAATGGTTTGTTATAACGATTGCGGAAATCCATGCAGTAAAAATAGTCAACACTAATCAATTAAAAATAATGTACATAGATACATATGTATGTCTGCATTTAGATATTCTAGTATAGCAATGATTGAATGCAAGCAAAAGATGATTACCTGGAATATCAATATTTGTTTAGAGAGAAGGGTGTTTTATGAAATGAGTAATGTTACTGCGCAAAAAAACCTTTGCTGCATAGCCTCAATTTTTTTTAGAATATCCTACTAACATAATAATACACATAGAAAATGCAAGAAGTGTTTTAAACGGTGACTTTAATGTATTCTTTTTGACTAAAATAAAATTTATTTGAACAAAAAAGAAAAAAAAAAAAAAAAAGAAAAGACAATTTTATAAAATACTATTCCGAAACACAAACAGTGTTCTCGTCAAATTAGCGCGTGGCAAACGAAAAGGTTTTAAAAGGGAACATGTGAAAAAAAGTGACCAGTAGTGACCTTATCCATAACCCAACTGTGAGAAGGCACAATTTTGTTTATTTTTCTGTCGGTTCAAAAATCAGAACAACAGCAAGTGAGCAACATTGAACAGAGTATATATTTATACTTACGTTTATGCATATATATATATATATATATATATATAATATATGATATTTATACACAACTCGGGGAGGGGAGGGGATAGGGGAAGGTTGCTATAAAACTGGTTACGAATAAGGTCCAGATTGTATGAAGAAGCACTTTAAAAGTAATTATTGATATTAGAAATCATTTCTCTGATAAAAACGATGCCATCTCTGAGTCATATCCAACTCTGAGGAAAGCACCCTCTGATGTGGAAATATGAACTGCGAAAACCTGAGTCGCTTCTCATCGTTTCATTAGCTGTGGAACCTTGATAAGAGAATTCTTGTTATTTTCATTAATTAAGGATTCCTGGCAACAAGGTGCTGATTCTGCAATTTCGCTTTGTTTTCTATAGCCACGGAATGCAGGCGAGATGGCGTAACGACATACAGAAAAAAGTACAACAAAGCGCCATCATATTATTTAGTGTCAATTGTACAAACTGAAAAACAGATGCAACCTGTCGTGTTTAATTATAGCTTTAGCGTTTTCAAACATTTTAAATTTTAGATATGTTCTTCACAGAAAGCAGTAGCCCTCTACCACCATCAATATTATTTTCACTCCTTGTTCAATTACAATATTCTTTTAAACCAAGCCGAAGACTTGAGATCAGAAATGATATAGTTATATAACCGATGTGGAAGCTTACGTGTTAATGTATATCCGATGATAAATCAGACAGCTTTAAAAAAAGGACCGGTAAGCAGATGTGTTATGTTCGGTGAACAATTTTGTCATTTCAAATGAATTCGGTTTGGTTGTTGCTGTTGTTTTGCAGTCTCTTTTTGCGAATTCGATTTTTCTTTTTACTAAGAGTAAAAAATTAGATACTATCGCATAGTTAAATATCAATAAGGCGTGGATATTATCAAGGAATTCTTCTCAGGAAGGTTTGTGAAAATATAGTTCAGTTAGGAATAATGAATCTTGAATTGCTATCCAGAGATTGATATTTCAAGACCTTACTGATTCTTGCCGTCCGCAACAGACAGTGCTTCCGCAAGCTCTCATTAACAAATGATTTCGTCGTTTACCTTGTTCTGAGACATGTACTCTTCCGTAACACATGGTCTTATTCTCCTTCTTTTCTTACTAAGCATGTACGTCATTTAATGACATGTTAAAATGTTAACCATGTAATTGTTTTGACAACTACTCAATCAATATCAACTTTTACACAGGGTTTCGAGAGATGCAGGCTGTTAAAGATGATGGGAAAGTTTTACGGTCGTCATAAAGATCTCTTTGAGAGTAACCCATTTCCTTGTGCGATATGACGTCGAACGTGTTTGATGCTCGTTAGTATGCCTGATATTTTCGTTGTTGTTTACCCTGTTCCGAGACGCTTACTTTTCCGTACAACATGGTCTAATTCTCTTGGTTGTTTTTTAGGTGTTTGCATGTAAATATTTTTGTACATATTTTTGCACTAGCTTTTTGAGTTTTGAGTTTCAGTGAAGATTCTGTTAAAATGTCGGTATTTTCGTAGTTGTTATAAATCTTTTAATATTTTAGTAAAGATATAAAAGAAAAAAAATAATGTCTGGACTTAGATATTGAAAAAAATATTGTAAACACAGAAGTTTCATTTCTGTATATTTATCACAACGACAATTATAACTGAAGCTCGGCATCATACTGTATTATTTGCTGTTATTCTGTTTGATTACAGGAAACACAGGACGACTTACAAACGTACTGCATATGAAAATATACACTTTTATTGACATGACTATACAGTGGGAGGAAGATGAAGTAACCTTTATAATGTATTAATTCTGAGAGGAAAATATTTGCAAAATGTCAGCTTTCTGTGAAATAAATTCTCTGCTAAGCATTAAACTTTTCAGAGGTGTCATTTTATTTCCAGTTCCGGTCCAGAACCATTAAAGCATCGAGACGCGCACATGCTGTGTTCCAGCTTGCACATTTCATACACATCGTTACTCATAGACGTCCTCGAGCACTCCACAAATTCCGGTACGCACATATCAGCATAGCACCCTGGAAAAAAACAAAACTATATATAGGCTGATGAATACATACGTTATACATTTTTAACCACTATCTTATATGATATCACTTTCTTATATAGTAGATATGTGTTGTCTGATCTCTTTTATAACCAAACTAGCAGTAATACTTAAAGCGATAAATTTGATGCATTAAAGACTATATGTTTATTCAGATGCGATCAATAATTCGGTAATTTCGATATTTCCACAAGCTACAAGTATTGAAAGGTGCTTACTGTATACAGAGAGAGCTTCTTCACAGCCAGTTTTCACTTGCATTGGAGTGATATCATCTGAAAAAATACAAAACATTTTATGAATATCATTCATTAATTTGGCTTAAAATAACGCGGAAAAAAGGAAGTTGTATCAATAAAATATTAGCAGATGAAATGTTCTTTGTGTTTTATATGTTTCTAGAAAAAGTGATCGAGAGGAGAGGGGCCACTAACGCTTTTGACCAAACTTTGAAATACCTGTTTTGCAATTTTACAGACTTCCCGTTTTTTCTGAAAACATTTATTTGGCTGTCCATGGTTTTCATAAAAATACACTAAGATTTGCATGAAAAGTGATATAATAAGTACATTTTGTCAGGTTCGTGCATAGTTTTCCCTTGGTTACAGAGATTATCACTTAATATTAAATAAGAATATGCAGACACTTATAACCATCAGAAGTATAAACCTTTGTTCAGAAATCGCTCAATAGTTACCAAGTGAGAATAAATATGAAAAATTGATCTTCTTAATTTATGGTAATTTTATGGGGTCACCGCCGCAGCTGGGACAACTATTTATATCATTACCATGGTAACAGGGAAATACAGTGCTTTGTGAACTTTATTATTAACGGTTGTAGAATCTAACGTATTTCTTCTGTTCCATAAAAGAGCGAAACTATATGTAGTCCTTTGTCCCAATCAAAGATAAGATCGAAAAATGTCCTGATGACTTAATAGACTTGAACGTGTTACCTTTTTAAAAAATACTACGTTTACTAACTGTTTTAGCTGCCTAGAAATTACTAGCAATGATTTTAAGAATATTTTCACCTTCGACATATCTAACAAGGAAGTTTTGCTTCGGGATTGGCGTGCGAAGGGTTGGAACACATGCTCCGAATCATCAACCACATTGGTATACGTTTGCCTTTCTTGTTGCAAATGCAAAATTAAATGCATTTGTCCGAAAACGGCTTATGAAAATGTATTTAGGACTCACCTAGAAAATCCTTTATATACAGAATATATCTCAGCTAAAGTTATATAGCCAAGCTATTTACTTGGATCATGTTTTAAAACAGAATAATGAGAAAGCAATGTATCATGATGTTTAATGTTGTTAACATAACTTTTAAATGGCAATATATCAACTTACCATGTTTCTGTGAAGTTGGTGGTAAGTCTTCCATTGACTTTTTACTAAACCAGGCTGTCAAAAGCAGAAGAAAAGCAGAAACTTAAAACTAGATTGAAGTGAATCATTATGCATTTCTCTAATGAAGTCTCTGTGGTAATACAGTTGCTCCGACATTGACAAAATGACACGAAGAGAGGCACTTTACACCCCAACATATCGATTGCTTCGTCACAGGATTTTTATGTAGAAATTAATGGCATTATAATATTAATGCTTAATGTTAACAATTATTGTATTCTAGCTTAATGCGAAGGACATGCTAACGCAAATATGAAGGCTTCACATCCAGTACTATCTAAAGTTAATCAATCGTTATTATCATACATGTAACACGTGTAGCATCAGACAAGAAATAACTTCATGAATTTGATATAAGATTGACGAAACCAGTCTCAAATAGTTTTAGGACACGTGTGACGAAAATAAAAAAAAATGGTAATAATTATGTAACGATTTTTTTTTATAATCGCATGTCAAATTAGAACGAATTTAAAATCCGTTTTTTATCAATCACGTGATCAGTTATCTATGCATATATTGTAATGATATCAATGGTCCCCAATGTCACGTCACAATGCAATCTGTGAGTGTTTCATCTAAACTTGAAACATATAATATGAAAAACAAGGCAGCCATATGATAAATACACCTTACCTTTGCATAATCAACGCATCAATTGAAATGAAATGATTAAAACAATTTCACAAGTAAAGGGAGTTCTAATTCGGTTATATTCTATAAGTATTGTTCGAAATGTTTTACATCATAGATAGTTTCATAAGGTCTTTAATTTTCCCCAACAGAAGTGCTCGAATATGATAGCAATGCTCGAAAATCTGCTGAACACCAATATTTAACATGGTCATGCAATATCTATTACAGTACTGTGTACACTTACAATTTCTTTTGAATATCGTGTTTGGGAAATATTCATCTGTGGAAAGCGACCGACTTTCAGCAAAATCTGAAATAGATAGAGAAATATCAGTCAGGATAGATTTAATCACACTAATGTAATATGTTATGTAATTGCCAAACAGGAACCACTGACACATACCATATAACGAATGAATCTTATTTGATATAGCTGCTCCCGGTGATGACAATGCTATGATAAACCATTAGCAACAGTTTACTATAATTAAATCTAGCATGTTAAAAATATAATCTAATATCATTTCTCATTTAATGTTTGTTGAAATCTGGATGATTGAATTTTAACAGTTAATGTTACCGTAATCGAGTTGAGAACCAAATGAGATATTGATGTCGGCTGTCAGCAGGATAAGCTACTCGTAGGCAATTCTAATGATTTTTAGTCCTACACTTAACACCTGATGACGATACACAATGACCAAAGTCAATGCCCTATCAATTGTACAAATTACACACAAGAAAATAGCACCTTTAAATGTAAATGTTAGGTTAGAGTCTTTAGAGTCAAACAAGGATTTAAACTGCATCATACAGCTGTTTAGTCCAGGAATTGTCAGTGTTGCTAAGAGCCTAAATTTTGAAGTCTTTCAGGTGACTGAGGATAATCCAAAGTAACCAAGGCCAAACCTTATATCAGATAATTTTAAAATAAAGTGTAGTACATGTTTATATTCTGTATCGTGCCACTATTCGAATGAAATAAGATATGACGTGCAGTCAAGCAAGTTTCAAGATGATTTTAACAGAATACGTTTATTTTTGCCGAGCGTACGGTGTAAGTTAGTCTGCTGTTGGTTCCCTGAGAAAAAAAGCAAAAGAGCCGAATTCGGTAAAGTCAAACCAAGTCCATCTTATGTTTATCGAACGAAATAGGTTAGAATTGAAGCATAATTGAAGCGTCAAAGAAAATAAATGTCACAAGACAAAGAATTCAATTTTAATTGCTTTTACACGGAAAAGGATTAATGAAATTTAAAACAATATTTTTCTAAGAGGGGTCAAAGATTAAGTTTCCAGCATTGTCATTATCGTTGTAGAATATCAACTCCACAAGGATGTTTGACATTAAGTTCACCCAATACTGGAGCTAGATGTGGCATATTTATGTGTCTGTATTAGGAGTAAAGAGGATCAACGCAATAAAATAAGGAATTATCGTCCGAGTACATTAGGTATATGTCCATTCATGTCGTCCCATTTAGTTGAGGCTAGTCCTTCCTTCTAACCAGCAAGATTCCCCTGTGGTGTTGATAATGTCAGCTATAGGGGGATCAGAGGTATCACTTGTGTGACTGATTTGTGAGTGTATGTACTGAACTGTATATCCAACAGTAAAGCTGTTTAATCCCCTGTACGCCAATGTATAATTACTTGTACATAACTGGATAAATATCCTCAGTGGTTAGGGTTGTAACAACATCGATGTTTATATCATTAACAAATGCAGATATTTAAAGAATGGTCAGTATTAAGAACGTTGCGAGATGTAATTTTCTATTAGAATAGTTTACAGTGTAGAACGAAAACTGTTTTACAGGCTCTCTTTTTTCGTCCAATCTATTGTTTTTATTTTTTAGTAAGACTTATTCTTTCCTATAAAGAATGAAGCGTATGTGTGAAAAAGCAAATTAATTTGATTGCTAGTATTTACAACTATACTTAGGAGAGCGAATGTTCACGTGTGTGAAATTATTTTACCAGCAATATGATTAATAGACACCAGTTTTTAAATAAGTTTTATGACTGACTAATTCACAAATTCAGGATGAAAAATTATCCAATATAACTATATTCTTCGCCTGCTGTTTTACATTATTAAGATAGCTATTTTACCATTTATGTCACATATTTATCACCAATTTATTCATAAAAACTGGATTAAAAATATTTGATTTATAAAAGAATAAGCAAGTCGTACTTACGTATTTGTAAACAGACAGCCAGAGCGATGATGAAAACAACACTGGTATATCCGGCGTATGTGTGTAAGATATGCATATTTATAATATCTGTAAGAGAAACAAAATTTAATGATTTAAGAAGAAAAAACTTTGGTAAAGTATAAATAAAGAACAAAACATCATAATGTAACAATTCTGCATACTTACGTTGCAACAGAAATCAAATATAAATGATCCTTTCAAGAAGTGACACTACAGTTCATGAATTGATATATGATGTGACACTGCTATGTACACTACAGGCATAGGTATTGATGTTTCCAGTTGTTCTCCGTTCTTAATATGCTACCTGTTGCTACAGTCGATTTCATTTTATGTTCAGCAATCTGATAATTGAGCACACGTCATAACCGAAGGCGGTGAAATTTTCCCAACCCTCAGCGAACAAAGACATTTTTGCGCAACTGTCTACTAGAAGCGAGTTGTGTTCAAAATACCACGCGTTTTGAAGATCGTTTCTCCGATTGGGGGTGTTTGAGAATTTTGATAACTCATTATGTGTGTACTCTTAATATAGATATGTCTTGGAGGTAGTGACATACAATAACTTTCATGTCATTTTCGCTCATTGCTATAAAAGGAGAATTATTTTTAAACCACACCGGTAAATGTGTTACTTGCTATATATTCTGTATTAAATATATATTCTATCAAAATTAAATATATCCTAGACTTCACTGACGAGTCCTAGAAGGACAAAACAGCTGTATGATTCAGTTTACTTCATTGTTTGGCTCGACTCTATCTCACTTTAAATTATGAAAAGGTGCTATTCACTTGTGTCTTTTGTACAATCTTTAAGACAACAGGTGGTTGACACTGCTGGTGGACTTTAAGTCCCCGAGGTTTGCCATTATCTGCTTGCCACATTTTAGTTCACACGAACACAGGCACGATCAACAAAATACACAGGTACCTGACGCTTTTCTTAAATTATCTGATGTATGAAAATCACAAAATTTATCTGATTATGGAGCTGTTGCACCTCCCCGTCTTGTTTTTGACCTGTTTTTATCATTTTAGATTTTCTTAAGTCGCCTCCTAGACTTCAAAATGTTAGCATCACTGACAAGTCCAGCTGTATGATGCAGTTTAATTCATTGTTTGACTCTACTATATCTCACTCTAAATTATGGAAAGGTGTTATTCATTTGTGTCTTTTGTACATTCGCCATGCTGATTAGTTTGGGAAGTGAAAAAAATGTTTTGCAATGATATAAGTTTCTACGTAACTGCAGAAAATAGTCATAAAAACGAAGGGCAGTTCTTAATGACTTTGATACATCTTTTAACATGTTTTCAGAGAGTAATGAATCTATATATACACATAAATTCAACAGCATTTATGCATGCGTGGACACAGTCATATAAACGTAGTTAGAAGAGTTACGTGTTTAATTCCCTGAATTAGAAACACTAAATGACTTACACACCATTTCTATCGTTAAATAGACTTATATATTAAAAGATTTTTATTGTAAGAATTTAAGACTATCCACCAAGTCATTTACGTCTTGTTCTCATTTTAAAACAGGGTTAACAGCAATGAAACCACCAAACATACTAAGGGCCATTAAAGACATCGACAATAACTTCAAATCGCACAAAGGAATGGCATATTCCATAATGAGATCACGAGAGTGGCCCTAATGCTTCTCCATACTCGTCATCAACCCGTATCTCTCGACTCCCTGTACAGTAAATTAATGACAGTTATCGGCATATGGAGTTAAACATAGATGAGAAGCTTGTTTCAGTGATCAATTTTAAATGAACAAATTACGTTCACGTGTTCGATATATATCGATAATTAGGTGTTCAGACATCAATAACCGGAGAAGTGATAATTCCATATAATAGTTACATTACTTGTCTCGTTTACATATGGGATTTATCTACGGTGCTCTAATAATAATAGTAATATTGTACTTTTAATCAAATACAAAATGTAAGTGCGGCCAAACGTTCATGCTTACTATCTGAAATGTATACTTGTTACCAAATCATGTAAGCTGGATTTTTCAGCAGCTGTGGTAAAGACTAAAATGCACAGTTTTCGTTGCATGCTTCAAGTACGATGTCAAAACTTTCATATAAGCATATTTGTGGCAATGAAATGGAACCTATCAGTGTATAACTAAAATGCTGCAGATCTACATACTTTATTTATGTGTCACATGTGGTATTGAACTAATCGTTACGATGACTTATCTCCACATTATGATTTGATCATTTTATTTATTTTGTTACTACAAAGCTATATTTAGAAATTTCTTTCGATCATTTTAGATTTGTTTTTAGTTCCTTATCCTTACTGATCAGTCCTAGATGGAGCGCTATACGATGTATTTTAATTCATTATTGGGTTTTATTGTACTTAACTCTGGATTTATATTAAAATGTACTATTCACGTTTTTTTTTAAAATCACTTTATATCTTCTATGCTATTAAAAATGAACTAATGAAGGAAGTGAACTTCTTGCAAATGAAGTGAACCATGAAGCTAACTAGTTTACCCGAGACGGAGCGAAGTCAAAATGTCAATATCATTGTAAGCGCTATCAGAGGTTATCATGTAAACACAAATACAGTTATAGAGAGAGTTTATTGTTTGTCTTAAATATACAGAACATCGCTCTATTTCAAGAGTGGCAAGAGATAAACATACTCTTTAATCTGAGACAGCAGCAAAATAACTGCTCTACTGACATAATCGAAATTCCGTTTGAAATTGCTAAAAATACAACGTAGTATTCTTTTCAAATTATTTTAAACAACGAGTTATTAAACATTCACTTCATTTTTATCGTAACAGAAGCTCGGCTGGTTTCTATAAAATACTTAATATGGTCAAAGCCATTATGTCGAGTGTTATAAAAGGCACAAAGGGTAAATGCCGATTAAAGGAGACTTAATTCATAAGCAGATGGTCGTATGATCATCTAAGATGATTAATGACACAATATGCAGTATGCTTATTGTTTGAAGAAGAAAAACGTGAAGAAAAAGTAAACACAAACATGTTTTACGGAAATTTTCCGAAGTACTATGGAGCATCAATATATAAGTATCATACAATATCACACCTGTGTATTAGCATTAAACCCTTAACTGACATAAGCATAATAGTTACACTACATTGATATGTTGTTATATATAATGGTTTTATTACTTATTAATTCAACTTTGCACAGATAATTAGTTATAAATTCTGAATAATGCCAAAAATGAATTTATATGTATCCTCCACTATAGATATCAGCCTACTTACGTCTTTAGCCTGATATCGTGTCCACACTTATAGGACTGCTGCGGTATGCGGTATCAATTTGTAAATTCGCCACTGGTGATAGCGTAGTGTGCGGGGTCATCATTACAAATGACATCGATAAATAAGCATGGGAGGAAAATAATCAATCACCCCTGCATGATGTAACAAAGAAAAGGGGTTTTAGTTCCAGAAGACTGAGATTTATATGTTATCTTAAGGCATCTTATCATCGGTGGTATACTCTTGATAGTAATGAAAAGTTAGATCCGCTCGTTATGTTTAAACATTGAACAAAGCACACAAAAGTGAATGGCAAACCAAAATTGATCCGTAGATAAAATAGAATCAAAGGCCAAATTAAAAGGCGTCATACGTTCTTTTGAGGGACAGGTACGTTATACTAAGGGACTTAATTGTATAAACCCTGACAGCATATGAGGAAAATATAAGTGGATCGAAATAACTGTCAAAATATTTTATCTTACGAATTTTCCATGTAAAAAGATTTGTAAACGTTCATGACTCTGCATCCTTAACAATGTCACTATCCCGATGAGTTGAAACGATGCATGCTGGTACCGCCAATCAACGGGAGCTAGTGGACTAGCAGTGTTAAATGAATCATCTTAAGTGGATTCCGCTCATCAAAACCTGCCTTCCAAAGTAACGTGAGGCAGATTTCAAAAACTTTCTCATAACGATCTTGTAACATTGACATATACATATAAATTACTTTTTAAACAATATGGGGGCTACATTTTACACTTTTCTGTAATTCCATAATATACTGTAAACCTATATGGTTTTCTTTGTATAGATATGTGTCTGTTTGCCTTGTTTAAGATATGAATGTAATATATTTTATTGTTAATGTCATGTTATAAAGCATTCTTATTGTCCCTCCTTCTTGCGAAAGCCTAGTCAACACAAGTTCGTGTCAGTAGAAAAAAGAACTCAATCGTTATGATTGGATTGTTTCTCTCATCAAGTCTGTGTTACCAAAATTCCGCGGGAATGAACGGTTCCTTTCATCAGGTATGAATTTCAAAGTATCGGTAACAATCGCAAGAATGAATGCCCTACAATTCGGTCAAACGTAGAAAGCAATTGTCCTTATGCCTGATGACAACCTACATATACGTATCATTATCACAAAGAATATCGTATGTTCATTTGCCTTCAAAGGTCTCTACTGCATTGCCATTACATATATCCCCCTAATTATGTGGATGGGTTTCGTGTTCTCAGTCTCTTGTGCTACTGTTTTCCGATTCTTTTCATTGACAATATGGATATCTACTGTACAACCTAAAGAAAAGACAGGTCTTTTATATAATGCTGTGGAAATGCTTACGTTAACCTGAATATGAAAGCAGCTTATCCAACACCTACTGTAGTTGAAAATATTTTTCATGCAACGTTATATCACTCATGCTGTCTTTTATGGAACGGATTGTTTTTACATTGTACATCTACTTTCAAAAATAGTCAAAAATAGAAAAATACTAGATATTTCGTTATGAGTTGGTTAAAACTTCATATCTTTTGCATTGTCATTGACCAGGAATGTAATCAAGCATTTAAATCATGAGTTATTCTAATGAATCTGTGTTGTCATGTCAATTCTTATTTTCATATTTCATTCTTCACTGAATTTGAAAACTGAGTTATCATGTAGTCACAGAAAACACGTCTCTGTTGAAATTTAAGGAACTCTCTAAATGTTCAAGCGTACTTAAATTTAATGGCATAACTTCAAACAGGA